TGAGCTACCAGCTTACTTTCTCTTGCACCAAGAAACTGCAGCCTAGATTAATTAGTTGAAGTATCTTCCTAATTTGTACTTAGGTCACTTGTAAATTTGATTGTGTCAACCACAGCTTAACATCATAATGCTGAAAGACTGAAACCTTACCCTCTAAGATCAGGAACGAAACTAAGATTATCTGTTCTCACCACTGCTATTCAGTACTGGAGTTTCTAGTCAGATGTCTAATAAAAGGCATCCAGACTGGAAAAGAAATAAAACTATCACTATTGCCAATGGTAAGACGTTATATATAGAAAATTCTAAGTTGTACACACACACACACAAACTATTAGAACTAATAAACAAGTTCAGCAAGGTTGCAGGGTACAAGATCAATGTACAAAAGTAAATCTGATACTATATGATGTATATCTTCACTTTCTCCTTCTCATTTTACTATCAACTATACACTAGAAATGTATGCCCTCTCATATCAAGAAAGTCTCTTAACTTTAGCTGATGAAATAAATTCCCATGGTTATAGGTACACAGTTAAAGAAATCCACACTCAGAATAGACGTGTTGAACACGCCACTCCTAAGTTCGTATAGATAACCGACTGTTAATGGGTCTTAAAGAATGAAAAGGAGCAATACTCTCCGGCTATACAGTAACCACATCAGAGTTTTTTAGTATCCAATACTTATCTAGGTAGACTCCAGTGGTCAAACTTACAGTCTTCTATAGGGTACATAATATTCCTAAAGACAAAAGAGTAAGTTGATATACTGCAGCCAGTATTTTTGAGATAACACATCAATTTGGAATGCCATGGAAACTGAGGTTTCTTAACCTTCTCAGGTACCTCCATAAAATCTGGACAACAAATATACAAATTATTTATGCCTTCGTGCACCCAAAGAAGTTGCTCTCCTTAAAAAGAAAATCACAGTTCTGCTTGGCCCAAAAGTCCTTTTGCAGAAACTTGTATAAAACAGGTATCAATCCACTCCAGTATTCTTGTCTGGGAAATCCCATGGACAGGAGAGCCTGACAGGCTACAGTCCATGGGGTTGCAAAGAGTCAGACATGATTAAGCGACTAAAACTTTCTTCTTTCTTCTTATAAAACAGAAAGAAAAATTCATGCAGAGGCTCAAGGATTTCATTCATAAACACACACATGCAGAGGCTCAAGGATTTCATTCATAAACACACAAAGTTTTTGCCTCTAATTTTAAAAACCATACAAAAAAAAAATCCACCAATAATTGGACTGTAAATAATTGGACTGTAAAACCTCACCAGTTAAAAGCCGAGGGCGGACACCTACCAGATTCTTCCATAAGACGACTCAGCATCCTAAGGGCAAACTGGCCAAGAGAGAATGTAGCAGGGGAAGGGGAATTAAGAGAGTTCTTGGACGGCAGAGGACATGTCTATCTCAGAAAAGTCTCAAAGAAGAACAAGACTAGAAGCTCGCCTACTCTGCAAGATTAATTGTAAAGCTATTTTTTAAAGAAAAAAATATATATACGTAGAATTAACACAGATAAATAGACCACTGGAATAGAATACAGAGACGGGAAACCAATATACATACAACAAGATTTGGTAATATAAGTCAGGAGGCACTGTGAAGTCAATGGGTGATGGACAGACTATTTAGAAAATAATATTATGAAAACTGGCTACCCATATGGGGTAGGATTTCTACCTAACAGTCACAACACTGCATTTCAGGTAAATTAGGTATATGGTGAAATTTGTAACTTTTAGAACAAAAAAAAAATATATATATATATATATATATTTAAACCTCAGGGAAGGAACCAGTTTTTAAAAACTAACACAGAAAAGTCTCAGTCATAAAGGAAAAGAATGATCAATTTGACTAAATTTAACTGAAAAATTCTGTATAATTACAGACAGCCAAAGACCATGTTAATGTCAAGCCACCTGCCAGAAGAATCCCTGTAAAAGATAAAATATTAGGATCATTAACATGTGCAATCTGCAAGGAAAACAGACATATAGATGATATATTCACAAAATAAGGGCCAATAAATATATGGAATAAAGCTAAGATTCATGGTAGCCAGGGAAATACAAATGAAAACTAAGAGCTGCTATCTCACAGCTCTGACTGGAAAACTTCAAAAGTGAGAAGACTAAGTGTTTTGGTGATGACCTAGGAAAATCAGAATCCTCTTGTAGCGCCATTGAGAGCACAAAGTTACACACCACTTTGGAGAGCAATCTGTCAACACGTAAGAGTCAGACACAACTTAGACACTAAACAAGAGTCACAGAGCACATATCTAAAATCAGAATATCTATTACCTGAAATTCCATTTGGGGGTGTGTGTTCAGAATACCTAGCACATTTCATTTGCATAAGAAAATATTATCAAGAACTACACTGACAGCGCTGTTCAAGATGGCAAAAAGTAACAACTGAAATGACCATTAGTGAGGGAAATGATAAGCAAACTGATATAATGATACAAAACAGCAGTAATGTTGAACGAAAAGGGAAACTACAAAAGAACACATATGATAGGATATCACAAAATTCTGAAAAACTGCTATATTATTTATGGACACAAACATGTGGTAAAATATAAAATCTTAAGCAGGAAGGAGTCATACCAACTTCAGGAGGGTGGGTGAGCTTCAATGAGGGAAGGAGGAGATGGTCTCAGGGAAGAGTACAAAAGAGTAACATTTTATTTCTTTAAAAATCAGAAGCAAATATGGCAAAATAGTTTATGAAGAGTACAAGGGCATTTATATTATTATTACTGTTATGTATATTTGAAATATTTTGCAATTAAAAAGAATTTTAATGGGCACATATAGTATAACAATCAAATAATTATTCACACCACACAAACTCAAGTAATGACATTGCTTTAAGCCACAGAAACTTATATACATACATTACAGCATGTGATAAATAAGAGTTAAAAATAAATTCTAAAATTTGCAATTTACATCAGGGCTTTAAATTAACAATTTTGCTAATGGGCTCTGATCTCATGCAATCTTAAAATGTCTTTATGCTAGAATTTTAAGGGATGCTCTCGAGTTGTCAAAGCTATATAAACAAAATTTTAATATGTGATATTCTGAATTTCAGTTTTATTTTGGAAAGCTTCTTCTTTAGTGTATAAACAATAACAAGCTTTACATTTGTATTTACAAGTCTCAAAGAAATGTGCCCAGAGTCCTAAGTATGAGGAGTAGGTATCTCACTTAATTATAGTGTTTCACCCGAGAACCTGATGCCCTGAAGAATAATGTGGGAAAATGCTCCATCATTCCCCTTTCTTTTCTCCTTGGGGTCTGGGTCAGAAGCCAAGACGTACCAATACTGGGAAAGTTATAAACAAAGCCTTACTATAAAACAATTTTAAAGGAAAAGTGTGCAATTTTCACAGAGGAGTGAGACAATCTTTTGGGTTTACTACGTCAGAGAGAGACATAGAAAAAGAGAGAATATTTTAAGAAAGGGGTTAAGAAGAGGTAGTAGAATTTTGCTATCTGTACTCCTTGAGCCTAAGGCTATAAGGTAATAAATACGACAGAGAAAATTTTAGGAGACAGATAAAACTGGGCAGGACACTGTATCTACAATACGACTCAAGATCTTTAACTCACACGTAATACTTCAGTCTCCGCTACAATGCTCTGACCACATTCATACTATTTCAATAATAACCATTTTACCCAGTTGATAGTAAGCAGTAATTTTATTTAACACAAGTTGCTTTTTGCCAATTAAACATTTGCAACAGAGATGATTAGCTGAGTTTTCAAGTAACCCTGCTGTGAGATAGGCTAATTATTTCCCATGTGATGGAAGACTGCAATAAAATTATTCCAAGTTCCAAACTTTCACACTTTTATATTTTGGGCACAGTTTTTAAGGGCAATAATGCTGTAGCAAAACACAGGTCTTCACCTACCCCGTTTCAGCCTGTTACACTGAATTATACTTAGTATTAAAATGTCTAACTTGCACTTATGAAGGCTAGAAAAAATTAGCTCCCCTCAACTCTAATTTAGTGTAATTCTGACCAGTAAGAATAGCAAAATTTGCTTACAAAATTTAAAGCCTCCTACAATATTTTTGTATTTTTTGCTTTTTCCACCACTCTTAAGTTTCACAAATAATTCACTATTTCTTTGCTCTTGACAGAGGACCACCACTCTGCTTCATGAATAAAATAAGGTGACTTCTGTTTCAAATTCTCACCCTCCGGAGACTCACTGCAACTGAGTAATAAATTCACTGACACGTCTGCAATCCAAATTTCACTAGCACAAGGAAATTCTGTTACAGTAAAAAGGTCAGTGTTCTGAATTTAATTTTCTGAATTTCAAAACCCTTAATAAATGGAGGCACCTTAAAGTTGTTTATACTCTTTTACATAGGCTTTCAGAGCATGCTTTAAATAGCTTAAGATAAGCTATATTAATAGCTTAATGTCATTTTATCATTAAAATAATTTACAAATATCAGAATACTAATTAATTTTGTTGTTGTAACTAATAAATAAGTCTCAAAATATCTGTGGATGTAAATCAATCCTCTCAATTCATTTATCTCACTCGGACTGTTCTAAACATAGATCAACTAACTGAATGAGTTTATCAGTATAATACAGTTGTGCAACGCCTTCACCGATTCCGACTCTGTACTTTAGGGTTTTTCCATATTTATTTTTAAATGTACAAAGAGATTAAACTATTAATATAAATATTTTCCTCTCCAATATGTAATATTTTTATGTAAAAGAAAAGGTTTCCAAACATTTACAAAGCAATCTAAAGATAAGTAAACCTGATTTTAAGATCATTACATGAACCAAAATAATTTTCCAGAGAAGGCCCTATTTGAAAGTAATGCTCAGTGGCCTCCTCACATCAGCACTTCAAGATGAATCCAAATCCACTGCCTTTGCTTGAATTACTTCAGGGATCAATTCCAATGAGGGGAAAACAAAAATCTCAGAAAAAGGTCTCGCGACAGAGTGGACAAGTGGATTTGTTGCTAGATGTAAACCATTTGTACTGAAAAAGAAAAGTCTAAGTGTTAAAAACTTTTCACATTGCCATTTTACATATACATCTAAAGTAACAATTTTTTATATAAAAATTTACTTTATTAATTACACAAAATGGAAATTAAAGCAAACATCTCTTATCAAACTGGCCAAGTTGAAAAGACAATATTATCTTTTTTTTTAACAAAACAAGATGAATACAGCACTCCTTTATTGAACAGTGGTGCTCAGCTTTGCATATTCCATTTAAATAGTGCTAGGTTTTACATAAATCATCTTCTTTTAATCCTTTCAACAACCTTTAGAAAGGTTTTATTATCTCCATTTTACAGATGAGAAAACTGAAACTCAGGTCAGCAAGTTGGTGCTTTGCTGACTAAAGTAACTTTAAAATGACTGAAGTAAGAAAAGGGAGAATGCTGAAATGTTTGTTCTTTACATTCATCTCCAAATCAACACAGCTCAGTACTCCTTCCAAAGGCCAGTGTGGCTCTCTGCACTTAGGCTCACACTCACAAAACACAGAGGTTTATAAAGAAACCAGCTGTGATGAAACTGAACACAGTTAGACTTTCTTTATGATGTTTAAAAAGAGCAAAAAAGCTCTGATGCCAGATGGCCCTCAGTTCCAATTTGTCCCGTCTCCTTTAGGATATATATCTTACAAAACCATCCATTTTTTAAGTGCCAGGAGCTATTTTAGAAACTTCCATTTATTAAAGTGCTTTGATGCCACCAGCCTCAGTAAATTACTAATTTTCTTTTACAGATTTTGAAAAATCATTTTTAATATGTCTCCCATTAACCACAATTAAGAGTTTAACATCCACTGTTTTCCAAGGTTAGATATCATCTATATATAATATTAATATATGTAAGATATAAATCAACTAGTTTCTCTTTAGACTTACCAAACAGGCTGAATGGAACTTTTTTTTGCATGTTCTACAGGCTTTTTTGGGAAGAGAATAGTTGAAACCGTGAATGACTGAGAAACAAATCATGCAATCTTCAACACCCTCAAAACGTTTGTCTACATTATTTTTCCATAATGCTAAGCCTTCCATAATACTCCCATTCTGTTAACAAGGGGGAAAAAAATAATAAAGTTAATACACACTTTAAATCACCAATATTATCTTTATTCAATTTCACAAATTTTAAAGTTGTATTATAATCTGGAGAGAAGAGTCTGCTTGGCTATATTCACAATTCTAAGTTTTATGAATACTAGTTTTCAAAATAACCCCCCACGATTTAGGATCCAGGTAAGTTTCTCCATTAAATGTCAACTTGAAAGAAAGGCTTCTGCCCCAATTTTCAATTTTTATAGTCTGTGCTTGTTATTTGATGAAACTTTTTATATAATTAAGTCGTTTGAATCAGTTCTCCTAACTTTTAACTAAATATGATGAAATTAACTATCTCACCTATTCAAATGTCGATTTGTTCCAGCTCTACAGTACTAGTGAATAGACTTGTTTTAAAATACTTTTCCTCTACTGTAGAATGCCTGAGAAGCATCACCATGTGCAAACAAAGCTAGAGAAGACCTAACAATTTGTTTAAAATGCAACAAGGTCTTTGGAAGTACTGGGATTTCTCTCACCACAGAAGGAGAGGTGAAAGGTTAACGTAAAAGCAGCTCAGGAGACATTCAGCTGTCCCGAGACTCGCAAAAGGGTTCCCTCTCAAACTGCAATACCACGCACTTTTCTGTGACATCTACAGTGTCAATGAAGAAGCGTCGATTCTTCGCAAACACCAGGGAAAAACGCTATAGAGCCTTAAAAATTAAAATAAGCTTGGCAGGGTCAAGTCATTTAGACAAATATCTGTTTCAGTTTCTGTTCAGTTGCTCAGTCGTGTCTGACTCTTTCTGACCCCATGGACTGCAGCATGCCAGGCTTCCCTGTCCATCACCAACTCCTGGGGCTTGCTCAAACTCTTGTCCATCGAGTCAGTGATGCCATCCAACCCCCTCATCCTCTGTCATACCCTTTCACCTCCTGCCCTCAATCTTTCCCAGTATCAGGGTCTTTGCCAATGAGTTCAGTTCTTCACACGAGGTGGCCAAAGTATTGGAGCATCAGCTTCAGCATCAGTCCTTTCAACGAATATTCAGGACTGATTTCCTTTAGGATTTACTGGTTTGATCTCCTTGCAGGCCAAGGGAGTCTCAAGAGTCTTCTCCAACACCACAGTTCAAAAGCATCACTTCTTCAGTGCTCAACCTTTCTTTGTGGTCCAACTCTCACATCCATAATGACTACTGGAAAAACCATAGCTTCGACTATACAGACCTTTGTCGGATTCAACAAAATATAGTATCCATTTCGACTTAAGCAGAAAAGAGAAAGTTTTACTGCCCTTTCACACAGTAAAGCAGCCATCTCTCTCTAGTTCAGAAAGCCTAACGTGCAAGTACTCGGACACTTACTTGATGGGTCAGGTAAGTGCTTAGCTGAAGCATCCAGTTTCGCCACTGCTGCACGGCCACTCCAACTCTTTTCCCACTTTCCACTGTTATTGAGCCCAATGGATAATTTGAAGGCAGCTGTATTATAAGCTCAATCACTATATCCTCAATACTGTAAGTGGCCATGACTTCTCGAGTAGTAGCTCGAGCTTTCACCTGCAACACATGAAAGGTAGGTTTTTTTTTGGCCAATTTTCTTTTCTTCCCATTTATTCAAAAATCATCTTAACAGGTTGACAGATGGCAGCCAGTCCTCATTCAAACAAAACATGGGTAAAAAGCATATTCACTTATCTAATGTGAGATAGTTAATAAATAGGTTCAAATACCTGACAAATTTCATAGTGATGTTATGACAAAGATGTTTTAAAAAGAAATAGACTATTAGTTGATGCCTTTTCCAGTATGGACTCAATTCATCACAGAAGTGATCTGTTCTCTATTTACCTTCATGAAAACTACTCTACACAAATACTGGGCTCTTCATTATTTCTTAAGCAACCACAGAAATTATTAATACATTCTCATCTTCAAACTTTTTGCTTTTGCTGTACGGTTTTCTCTACATTAAATGCTTTAACCCACAGCAGCATCCTGCCTACCTCAAAATAAACTACCCCCATCAAGTCTTACCTAGTCCCCTAAGCTGGATGAACTTTTCCCACCCTGTTTGCAGAACACTCTTCTTCTTAATGTGCCACTTTCCAGTTTCCAATGCAAAGAACATTATCAGTATCACCTTCATTCCTTTATCAGACTGCATGTTATTACACGACAGGAATGCGACCCTTCTAAACTGTCTGTTTTGCAGGTGACTGGCACACAGCAACTGGTATCTATAGGTATGCCAATATATACTTTGAATTAACTAATGAATGTTCAAAAACTATTCAGCATAGATAAATGAAATTATAGCATCAATCGATGCATTAATTTGAGATCTGATATCCAAGAATCAGAAAATAAAGTAGACAATTTCTGTAATTTCTGAACCAAGAGCTACAATTGTGATCATACTCACTAAAACAGATAGGCATAACCAACACTGAGACAACTTTTTTTAGGAAAAAAATTCAAGATAATACTAACCGTCATGCCGTTAAATAGCTGTGTACTTGTTTGCACAGAAGATATTTCTTGAAAAGAAAGAACACTGCTAACGTACTTGCTGGTAAATCTATCTACGATGTTGAAAACACGCTTCTCACTACTGTTCCACCACAGCCTAACCATGGCTGGCAAGTCTTTTAATGTCATGTGATAGACTGAACAAGCCAAGTGTGGAATATGGTAGGGGAGAGCTGAGGTGTCTGAGGAAAAAACAAATTCTCAGTTAGTGACATGTATCTCTTACGCAGAACAGACTAATATTAGTACTTCCCTTAGAAAATCATCTTCAACTCCTAAACACTAGTGCTAGAGCTCATAAAACAAACATACCAAGGTAACCAGACTCTAATTAGCTTTTTCTCCCACATTCAAAACCAACAATTAGAATGGTAGAAAGAAGATCCTGTTGGATACTGAAAAGTCTGCCCCCAAATAGCACTATTTTGCAGGAAAGATCACAAATAAAATGAAGCACACACACTTCAAAGAGGAGTAAAAATGGAAGATTCTTTTTCTTACGAAAGTGAAAGTGAAGTCACTTAGTCGTGTCCGACTCTTTGCAAGCCCACGGACTGTAGCCCACCAGGCTGCTCTGTCCATGGGATTTTCCAGGCAAGAATACTGGAGTGGGTTGCTATTTCCCTCTCTAGGGGATCTTCCCAACCCAGGGATCGAACCCAGGTCTCCTGGCATTGCAGGCAGACGCTTTACCATCTGAACTACCGGGAAAGCCCCAAATTATGAAAAAAATTTGGCCTCCTTTTCTTTCCCCACAGCTCACTGATGTGTTATGCAGAAGTTCTAGAGTCCCACCATAACACCCACAAGACAAAGTTCCAACTCAGATCTCTAAGACATTTAAAACAATTCCTATTCTCAGGAAATCCTTTTTAATACTGAGGCATAGCTAGATGCACGCATGTCTACTCCTTCAGCTAAAATGTGAGCTCCTGGAGTGAAAAAATAATAAATTTTACTCATCTTCGTTTCCCCAACAGAAGACCATCCACAGAACATTACTGTCTACAGAGTAAAAGGTAACAGTAATCAAGAAACTAAGCTTCAAAAATGAATTAAATTCCTAAGAACTCTAACCAGAAGATCTAATTATTTATTCCATGTAGAGAAATATGGAAAATCTGGCATTTCAACACTGTCATAGAGGGGTCCCACGTTCAGGATTGCTCTCCACGCCCTCAGGGTAAAGCGTCACACAACCTGACTTGAGCCTCGTCCCCAGGAGGAAACATACACATCATACTGACCTCTAATACACAACTGGAGCTCTTCCGTAAAGAAAGTTCGAGGGTCCTTATTGGAGAGCTCAACAGCTGTCTCTGCAAAGGCTGGATTTTCTGGCATAAGCCTGAACAGGTGATAAAGCAATTTATTCAAACTTTTTGTTTTTCGAAGGTACATTGAATACAGAGCTCGAAGCTGGTGGAAACGAGAGAATTTTTGTTAGTAAACCCAATTAAATAGGATATTCAGCAGACTTGAATGAATTAAAAGTATAAATGGATTGGGACTTCCCTGGGGGTGGTCAGTGGCTGAGACTCTGTCCTCCCTATGCAGGAGGCCAGGTGCAATTCCTGGTCGGGGAAACTAGATCCCACACGCTGCAACTAAGATCCAGCACAGCCAAATAAATAAATAAATATTTTAAAAATATATATATACTACCTATATATATATAGTACAGTGTGTGTGTGTGTGTGTGTGTGTGTGTAGTACAAGAACACAATGAAAAAATGCATTTATCTGAACACTGAGAATGACATGGAAGAGTCCTACAAAATACATCACACAGTGTTACTTTCCAGTTGGGTCATCTGATGACACTGTTCCCCCTTCTCATACACTAGCAGAAGTCTTCACTATCCCTTCGTTATCAGACATATGCCTCTAACATCTTTCTCAAACTGTCTCCTATTGATAAGTTCACCTCCACTTGGAGTCTGAGCTGAGAAAAATCTATCTGCCACTGCCCACAGATGCTTCACTCATTCTCCTCCCAACTCTTCCACACCACAATCTCTAATCTTTCAAAATTTCTGCTCAAGACCAATCCCATTGTTATGGCTGCCCTCACCCTATACCACACATTCCAGCATCCTTTAATGACAGCACAATTTGGTAGCTCAAAATGTCCTGGAGTCGTTTTATAAATCAAGAAATTTCACATAAAAACATGGATTTTTTTTTTTCTGATTTCTTTCTTAAAAAGAGGAAAAATCTGGCACCACTGGGTATACTACAGGTATCTACATGAGACACGCGCTTCAGAAACTCACTCCTCAATTAGGTGGTCTTCATTTGTTCAGATTTACCTTGCAATTCTTTGGTGTTAGTACCTGTTTCAAAATTACTTGTTCCACTATGCCATATTGTCTCCTCAGAGTACACAAACACCATTTTCTGGACACAATGAATGCTCAAATACAAAGATCAAGCCCATAGGAATTTGGCATTTGGGATTCTTAAAAAATCGACCAAAAGACCTTTACATGAAGAAATGCGGAGGACACTGCCTTTACCAAGTAACCCAACTCAACATCACCCATGCGAGGACACACGGTATTCTGTGCTCCTGAGGCGGCAGTGAGCGCACAGCACCACTGTGCAGTGAACCCTCTCGCTGAAAAATAAACAGAATATAACCACGAGGAAACTACCAGACAAATCCCAACTGGAAGAGAGTTCACAAAATAACTGACTCGGTGAATGAAAAGAAAGAAAAGTAGAGGAATCATAAGCTAAAGAAATATGACAGACAAATACAAACATAATCCTTGACTGAATCCTCAATAGGAAAGGAAATAAGACTACAACGGACATTACTGGGAAAACTGGGAAATTTTTATTTTTTTAGGGGGCAAATGTTAAATACAAATTAGATAATATTAGTGCATCAAAATTAAATTTGAGTGTAATATCTGTATTGCATTTATGATGAAACATGTTCTTATCTTAGGAGTTTATGTGTGTATACATGTGAGCGCAGTTGTGTCTGACTCTTTGTGACCCCATGGACTGTAGCTGGCCAGGCTCCTCTGTCCATGGGGTTTCCCAGGTAAGAATACTGGAACAAGCTGCCATTTCCTACTCCAGTGGATCTTCCTGACCCAGGAATCAAAGCCGAGTCTCTTGTGTCAGCTGTGTTGGCAGGCAGGTTCTTCACCACTGCACTATCTGGGAGGGCCAATTCTAGACATACATGTTTAAAAGTATCATGATGTCCACTGTCTATCACCTCCGTAAATCTGAATATTTCTCAAAATAAAAAGTTGGAAGGAAAGTAGAATTTTTTAAAAAATTTATTGCATCTATCAATGGGCTTTTGAAAAACACATGTCTACTACCCAGCAGTCGCACTCATAGGTATACAACACAAGAGAAATGAAAATAAATGTACACACAAAAACTGAGGCATAAACATTCACAGCAGCTTTATTCACAATAGGCAAAAAGTGGAAACAAGCTAAACACTGCATAAGCAAAATGCGTTACAGTCATACAATGAAGTATTTTTTAGACATAAAAAAGGATGCCATACTAACACACGCTGAATTATGAATGAACCTTGAAACCATGTGCTGTAAGAAATAAGCCAGACACAAAAAGGCCATATATATGAAAAATCCACAGTAGGCAAATCATAGAGTCAGAAAATAGATCAGTGGTTGCCAGGGGTTTTGAAAGGAAAAGGGACAGCAGGGTGGGTAAGGGTGTTTTTTTGGGGGGTGGGGAGGGAGGGGGGCTGGGTGTCGATGTGTGTGGATATTGAAAATGTTCTAAAATTAGATGGTAGTGATGGTGTACAATTCTGTAAATACACTAGAAACACCAAACTGTACTCTGTATCTTTTTTTTTGGCCACACTGGGATCTGAAGTTCCCCGACCAGGGTTCAAACCTGTGCCCCCTGCAGTGGAGGCGTGGAGCCTTAAACAGTGGACTGCCGGCATCCCCAAAACTGCACACTTTAAATAAGCAAACCTGATGATACGTGAAACACACCTCAGCAAAACTATAAGACACACACACACACACACACACACACACTTGTTTCCAATTCAGTTCACTAATTCTTTTGAGAAGAATATTAAAAACAACCCAGATTAAGGACCAAAACTTTACATAAAAAACAGTCTGTTTTAGGATTCTTCTAATAACTGTTATTTACTGAGTTATGATGGTTTACTTGTTGACAGCTCAGTTCAACTTCTAGGCTCAATAAATGCTGATCTAATTCTTTGTGCCCCTCCCCCACCCTGGCTTAATGAAAAAGATGATGTATTCCTAATTTCTGAGTAAAAGAATCATATAATTATTCCTAATTTCTGAGTATAAGATAACAAGAACAAAATTCTTAGACATAAGGCTTCTGCTGCTGCTGCTAAGTCACCTCAGTTGTGTCCGACTCTGTGTGACCCCATAAGGCCTCAATATGCCGCAATTTTTTAGAGATCAACAGTATTCTAAAAAACAAATGCAGTAGTTTTTTAGAACTGCAACAACAAGTAGTTCTTAAAATACATAACCAGTGAATTAAGACAAGCTCAAATCACAAACCTAAGTGTTAAGACTGAAAAGAATAAAACCATCTGAACATCTAGATCAGTGTTGCCTCTGTGATTTCATTTTCTCCTTAGATAAACAAATGAAAAAATGTATATGTTCATATATTTGTACCAAGAAATAGATTATTGAGCTTCCCTGGTGGTTCCGGGGTAAAGAACCTGCCTGCCATTGCAGGATACATGGGTTTGATCCCCAGTCTGGGAAGATCTGGAGAAGGAAAGCGCAACCCACTCCAATATTCTTGCCTGGAGAATCCCATGAGCTATAGTCCATGGGGTCGCAAAGACTCAGGACAAAGTGACTAAACAACAACATGGGTTATTAGCAACAATATAAGTTATAACTTAAGGATTCTGAAAAATCACATTGAAAATGAATGCCATGATTATTTAGTCACACTTTAAATATGTAGCAATTTAAGTCTTGTATGAACCTGACAAAGAAGTTACCTACTTTATTAAACTGATTCAATGTGTGAAACTTTTTTAAAAGCAGGCATCTGTCTAAAATAATTTTTTTAACTGGAGCAGAGCTTTCCAGCTTCCTTCTTAAACGTGAGACAACAGGGACATCTAGTGGTTCCTAAAATAATTTGGGCAAAATAATTACTATAGGATATTTTCATTATTTAGTGATAATAGCTTGAATTACATATGGTAATATTTCATAGATCGTTCTCTAAACACTGAGGTTTCAAATAAGGTGCATTTCCAGTTATGTATTCATTGATATTCCCACAAGAGCCAGAAGTTGACCAAAGAGGGGAAAAAAAATAGCAAGATCTGGTTCTTTAGAAAATGTTACTATGAGAGCACAAAAGTAAATGATAGAAACCTGGTTTCCTGCAATAAACAGACTTGGTGGATACATTCAGTTAGAAAAAAACTGATCCAAGCATAAAACTGTGGGAGGGTGACTAAGAAGAGACAGAAATAAATTTAGCAGAATGTCTGTAATGAGCCAGATACGATTAGATTAAGATATGAGGCATTTCCTCATTTTTCTCCAAAAGGAGGGGAAGGAAAGGGTTTAGGATAGTAAGAGAGAAGCACATATAGGACAGAATTGTCAAAAGTTGTCTCATTTTATTTACCTGAGATGAAGCAGCTTTGAAGAAAGTAAGTATTAATTTCCAAGTGAGGAGGTACCCCAGAACATAACAGAAGTCTTCACTCAGTGGCTTGACAGTAACTATCTGTCCAACAGGAACACAGCCCAAAACATTTTCTAGTAAGTCCTCTTGAGTGCTAAGAAGAGACATCAGTGCAGCCGGTGGCGACCTAAGAATCAATGATTAAATACCACAATTTTCTTCATAATTTGTCTCTTAACAAACTGACAGCATGTATAAATCTGAAGCATTTTAGAAAAATCTTCCTTTTCCTCTGTTTTCCAAAAACCATTTTAAAAGTTCCCCTTTATAGGTTCAATTTTGACCCCTAATGTTGTATAAAGACAATTATAGAATCTGAAAAGCATAAAGTGATATGGAAATATATACATGTATTTTCATATTTATAAATATGTAAGATATGCTATAAAATTTACTCTAGAAGTTAGTTCAGTTCAGTTCAGTTGCTCAGTTGTGTCTGACTCTTTGTGACCTCAAGGATTGCAGCACGCCAGACTTCCCTGTCAATCACCAACTCCCGGAGTTTACTCAAACTCGTGTCCATTCAGTTGGTGATGCCATCCAACCATCTCATCCTCTGTCGTCCCCTTCTCCTCCTGCCTTCAATCTTTCCCAACATCAGGATCTTTTCAAATAAGTCAGTCTTTTGCATCAGGTGGCCAAAGTATTGGAGTTTCAGCTTCAACATCAGTCCTTCCAATAAACATTCGGGACTGATTTCCTTTAGGATGGACTGGTTGGATCCCCTTGAAGTTCAAGGGACTTTCAAGAGTCTTCTCCAACACCACAGTTCAAAAGCATCAATTCTTTGGTGCTCAGCCTTCTTTATAGTCCAACTCTCACATCCATACATGACTACAGGAAAAACCATAGCCTTGATTAGATGAACCTTTGTTGGCAAGGTAATGTCTCTGCTTTTTAATATGTTGTCTAGGTTGGTCATCACTTTCCTTCCAAGGAGTGAGCACCTTTTAATTTCACGGCTGCAGTCACCATCTGCAGTGATTTTGGAGCCCAGAAAAATAAAAGTCAACTGTTTCCCCATCTATTTCCCAGGAAGTGATGGGACCAGATGCCTTGATCTTACTTTTCTGAATGTTGAGCTTTAACCCAACTTTTTCACTATCCTCTTTCACTTTCTTTAGTTCTTCTTTGCTTTCTGCCATAACAGTGGTGTCATCTGCATATCTGAGGTTATTGCTATTTCTCCCAGCAATCTTGATTCCAGCTTGTGCTTCTTCCAGCCCAGCGTTTCTCATGATGTACTCTGAATAAAAGTTAAATAAGCAGGGTGACAATATACAGCCTTGATGTACTCCTTTTCCTATTTGGAACCAGTCTGTTGTTCCATGTCCAGATCTGTTCCTTCCTGACCTGTATACAGGTTTCTCAAGAGGCAGGTCAGGTGGTCTGGTATTCCCATGTCTTTCAGAATTTTCCAGTTTGTTGTGATCCACATAGTCAAAGGCTTTGGCACAGTCAATAAAGCAGAAGTAGATGTTTTTCTGGAACTCTCTTGCTTTTCTGATGATCCAGCAGAAAACATATATTTCAACCTTCTGTTTTATAGATGAAAAAAAATCATACATTCAGAGAGGCTAAATGATTAGTCTGAAGTCCCTTGCTAGCCAGGGGAACAATTAGGGCTAACAAATCCTATCAGGTCCTTTATCAACCAACAAAGGGATAGAAGATCCTAAGACTGTATTGTCTTTTCAATACAGTTAAAGGAATGTTAAAGGAAATTTAACATTCATATTAACTCATGGCAATGTTAGGTAATTTTTTTCTTTATGGAAGTAGTGTACTTATTTACACTTTCAGACAAGCTTGTAAGAGTCTTAGGAAGTGAAATAGTTGTGTGTGTTGTTGTTGTTCAGTTGCCAAGTTGTGTCTGACTCTGCGACCCCATGGACTGCAGCATATCAGGCTTCCCTATCCCTATTCATCTCCTGGAGTTTGCCCAAGTTCATGTCCATTGATTCAGTGATGCTGTCCAACCATCTCATCCTGTCACCCTCTTCTCCTCCTGCCTTCAATCTTACCCAGCATCAGGGTCTTTTCCAAAGACTTGTGTGTATCTCCAGTCAAGTTCTCTATGACATTCTGGGTTCAGTCTCTTCTTTTAACTCTGTGATCTTTCTTTCCTTGCGGCTTCCTACTACCAGCCCATAAGTAAAAGTTCTCTTCAAGCTCTGCCCTTAAGTTTTTACCTTCAGCACCACCACCTCATGTAGCAACCCTTCTCCATTCCATACCAACCATCAGATTTTACAAAGAACAGCTCTCCACTTTACGCACTAACCTCCATGCACTTTGGAACTTCTGGAATGGCCTCCAGCTCTGCTTGCTACTTGTACAGTTTATGCTTCAGACTTCTGCAGAGTCAGCTGATGGTATCCCATCTTCTACCAAACAAGGCCCCGATCTCTAGAAAATGTCATTTTGAAGGCCCTTCATTACCCTCCAGCTTTAGCTTTCACTGCACGCTCCCTGCCTACTCCAAACATACTCACTTATTATCTGGCTGCATTGGGCCTTAGTTGCGGCACGTGGAAACATCACTGCATCAACTGGATCGTTCACTGCGGCACAGCGACTCTCTCCAGCTGTGGCACCTGGGCTCTGTAGTTTCAACACGTAGGTTTAACTGCTCCCCAGAATGTGGGATCTTAGTTCCCAAACCAGGGATCAAACTCATGTCTCCTGCATTGCAAGGCAGATTCTTAACCACTGGACCACCAGGAGAATCCCTCATTTATTCTGTTTTTACTCAACAAATGAGGATTATTCATAACTATTTAAGGTCAACAACTGGGTGTTGGGGGAAAAAAGTGAGGAATAAGAGACTAAAAGCTTCACACAGCTTATATCCCAGTGGAAGAAGATTTAGAAAATTTAAAAAACATGTCACAAGGCAACAACTCGATATTCCCCAAGCACATCATGCGGTCACACCCCAGTGCCTTTGCACGTGGTGTCCCTGTAACTTTTCCCTGCTGGCTGAGACGCTCCCCAATCTGAAAGGTCAGTATCAGTGTCCTCCCTTCTTGGCACAGGAGTTGTGTCTTACGAACATCATCCTTTTTCTTAGCACTTGTCACACACTGCCTTCTGTTATAGGGTGGTTGCTTAGTCGCTCAATCATGTCTAACTCTTTTGTGTCCTCATGGACCACAGCCCACCAGGCTCCTCTGTCCATGACATTTCCCAGACAAGAATACTGGAGCGGGCTGCCATTTCCTTTTCCAAGGGGTCTTCCCAACGTGGAGATCAAACCCACATCTCCTACACTGGCAGGTGGATTCTCTGCCGCTGAGCCACCAGACAAGCCCATTCAGTTTTAGGCTAATACATCTAAATTACTTTATAAGCTCCATAAGAAAACAGTTTACTTAACACTATATTCTCCCCTCACCATTTAATTAACACTTGCACAAAGGGGTGCTTAATACATTTTTGAATGTGTATACTCTTTCCCCAGTTACTATGTGGCCAAAGAAAGTTTTACTCAATAGCATCAAACGGAAAATGACTTAGAAACAATTAGAAGAGAGAGTAACTATCTTTTCAAGTGAGCTCTAAAATTCATTTATATCTTACAGATAAACGTACAAGATTTGTGGAATGAATGTATATGCTAAATTTAGAGCTTTTGCATTGCCTCAGTCTTCTAAAGTCATCATGATGGATTATGAGAATTTAACGAAGCAATCCACCTTATGATGGTTTGACTTCTCATTTTTCAACACTACAATAGTGTCAAAGCTATGTGTTCAGTAGAAACTATATTATAAATTGTGACCTTCTCCCAGACTGGCTATACGCAGAATGATACTCTCTTACAATGCTGGGCAGTGGAGGTGTACTGCAGCTCCCAGTCAGCCACTCGATCACAAAGGTTTAACAACCAAACCACTCACAACCATTCTTACCCAGACAACCATTCTGCTTTTTACATTTGGTACAGTACTCAATAAATTACAGGAGATATCTAACACTTTATCATAAAACAGACTTTGTGTTGGATGACTTTGCTCAACTGTAGGCTGATGGAAATGTTCTGAACATGCTTCAGTAGGCTAGTCTAAGCTGATGTTCAGCAGGTGACCTGTATCAAATGTATCTTTGACTCAACACTGTTTTCAACTTACAATAAGGACATAACCCTGTAAATTGAGGAAGACATGTATTAAAAGTCACTTACAAGGCTGGTTCTTCTTCTTCATCTCCATATGACTTTAGATTATCTTGATCATATTGTGGGAATTCAGGCATCAATCTGGAAGTCAGAATATTAAGTTACATGAAATGGTTCACTGTTAGCAATAGAAAGTCCAATACTTATTTTGTAATGAGTATATCCTTTTACTCAGTTTTCTCTGAAATAATCCACCATGGCCAGGACTATATAAATGTAAACTGTGCATGGAGAACAGTGACCATTCCTGTAAGCTTAGTCGAGCTTACCCTGTTCCAGTTTTTACTTTGACTTTTTTTTTTTGGTAGATTTTTTCTTTTTACTTTGACTTTTTTTTAATGGCCAAATATTAAAACTACATTGGAGAAGGAAATGGCAACCCACTCCAGTATTCTTGAATGGGAAATCCCATGGACTGAGGATCCTGGTAGCTACAGTCCATGGGGTCGCAAAGAGTCGGACACAACTGAGCGACTTCACTTTATGTGAAAGTGAAAGTTGCTCAGTTTTGTCCGACTCTTTGCGACCCCACGGACTACACAGTCCATGGAATTCTCCAGGCCAGAATACTGGAGTGCATAGTCTTTCCCTTCTCCAGGGGATCTTCCCAACCCAGGGACTGAACCCAGGTCTCCCACACTGCAGGCAGATTCTTTACCAACTGAGCTATCAGGGAAGCCCAAAACTATATTTCATTTTTTAAAAACCAACACAATACTGATTCAACTGAAAGAATTCTTACTTGTATAGCATATGATAGACAGCAATTTGCACAGGCCGAGCTCTGTAAAGGAGTAATGGGGCTAATGTATTTAACAAAGTCTGGAGGTATTCTGGCAAGTTTGTTTTCTGACCAGCAATCAATCTTGCAGGGAGTTTCTGACTCAAGAGCTGATCCTTTGGGATATAAGTTAATGTTTCACACATGGGCTTCAGCATTGCATTCTGAAATGATGTTTCAGATGTATCTCTGTTTTCTCCTGATGACAAAAAGGAAAAAAAGAGTCATACCCCAAACAAAGTGAGTAATACAACTTGACCGATTCACAGACAACCAAATGTTATTTATGAAAATGAAAGAAAAACTGGACAAACATTAAAGCAGTCCAAACTGGAAGCTGAATATATATTTATGAACTGAATATATATTTCAGATAATCTCAACTATTTAATGACTTCTATTATCCTTTAAAAAAAAAAGAAGTTTGAGTTAAAATAATTTATTCATATTCCTTGAATTAGTATTATTCTAATTTTCAGTGGTCTTTAGGTATCTTGTGATGTTTCAATTCTTGACTGTAAAGCAAAAGAAAATACGATGACTCTGAGATGCTAAACTTTCTCTCTGGCTCTCTTACTATTTTGTGTTGTGTGACCTAAACATCCAAAGTTGATTTTGGGGTGTTTTCTGTTTTTTTTCCAAAACAACTTATTTTCAATGGCTCTCACTATTCCTCCCTTTTTCACTTGCCTGTAGCGGTCACCAAAAGAGGTAAAAGCAGACTGTGGATGCCAGGAGAAAAAAACTCTTTCCATTCACTGATCAGATTGACAGGAAGGCTGCCATTGGTGCCCAGAGTTGTGGAATCAAAAAAAGCACTGAGTTCACAGGCCAGATCACAGCTGACACAGGCAAACAGTTGTACCAGTGGAACGGAATACAGCGCCTGATTCTCATTTGTTGTCTGAGGAAACAAAAATTAAATAGGTAAGCAGACCTCCTGTAGAATATTACATGTCAAGGCAATAAAGAGAAGTCCCTTTCATTTCTCTAAATTCAAAAATAAGAAACAGTTTGAATGTATAGTCTCAGGAGACATTTATATATTTTATATCAAAATAACTTATTTTCAGAATTAAATGTTAGGAATTAGAATTAACCCATTTATTGTGAACTGTTCTATTTCTGCAACCAAGAAGGAAAATAGTATCAATTATCATATACCAAGTTAAATACATTAAGAGCACATTTATAATCTTCTCAGAAGCCCTACTAATTGGGCATTATTAAGTTATTTTAAAATGAGGAAACTGAGGCTCAACTAGATAAACTTTAATACCCTAAGCCACACAGTAAACAGCAGGCAGAGTAGAGATCAGACCAAGTCAACACTAACTGACTTGCTGCATGACAGCCCATAGGTATTACACAGCTGGCTGCTTGGGGCCATACAAAGAACTCTAATTCCCTCTCAATTTGTTTAATCTTTACTGCCCTACTCTGGCAACAATGAAACAGTACACTGTAAGAACAGAAGCAAAAGACCAAAAACCTTGCCATGAAAAGATAAAACCTTAAAGGGCTATGCTGCAAATATGACACTAAAATGAGCTAGCGGAGAGACCATTTTAAAAGCAGTTAGCAGAATGGTTACGGAATGATACCGGCAAACATTAAACCTCAATCATCTTACTGACCTGTGAAGCAGCAGCCAGCAAGGAATACATCTACAGGCTGTTTAAATGTTTGCAAAGGAGCTGACTACAGCCACTACTTAAAGAGGAGGAGAACACGCTGTTCGCAGACGACATGATCCTCCACTTAGAAAACCTGAAAGACTCCACCAGAAAATGACTAGAGCTCATCAACAAATACAGTGAAGTGGCAGGATATAAAATTAACACACAGAAATCCCTTGCATTCCTATACACTAACAATGAGAAAACAGAAAGAGAAATTAAGGAAACAATACCATTCACCATTGCAACAAAAAGAATAAAATACTTAGGAGTATATCTACCTAAACAAACAAAAGACCTATACATAGAAAACTATAAAACACTGATGAAAGAAATCAAAGAGGACACAAACAGATGGAGAAATATACCGTGTTCATGGATTGGAAGAATCAATATTGTCAAAATGGCTATTTTACCCAAAGCAACCTATAGATTCAATGCAATCCCTATCAAGCTACCAACGGTATTTTTCACAGAACTAGAACAAATAATTTCACAATTTGTATGGAAATACAAAAAACCTCAAATAGCTAAAGTAATCTTGAGAAAGAAGAATGGAACTGGAGGAATCAACCTGCCTGACTTCGGACTATACTACAAAGCCACAGTCATCAAGACAGTATGGTACTGGCATAAAGACAGAAATATAGATCAATGGAACAGAATAGAAAGCCCAGAGATAAATCCACGAACCTATGGACACCTTATCTTCAACAATGGAGGCAAGGATATACAATGGAAAAAAGTCAACCTCTTTAACAAGTTGTGCTGGGAAAACTGGTCAACCACTTGTAAAAGAATGAAACTAGAACACTTTCTAATACCATACACAAAAATAAACTCAAAATGGATTAAAGATCTAAATGTAAGACCAGAAACTATAAAACTCCTAGATGAGAACATAGGCAAAACACTCTCTGACATAAATCACAGCAGGATCCTCTATGACCCACCTCCCAGAATATTGGAAATAAAGGCAAAAATAAACAAATGGGACCTACTGAAACTTAAAAGCTTTTGCACAACAAAGGAAACTATAAGTAAGGTGACAAGACAGCCCTCAGATTGGGAGAAAATAATAGCAAATGAAGCAACAGACAAAGGATTGATCTCAAAAATATACAAGCAACTCCTGAAGCTCAATTCCAGAAAAATAAATGACCCAATCAAAAAATGGGCCAAAGAACTAAACAGACATTTCTCCAAAGAAGACATACAGATGGCTAACAAACACATGAAAAGATGCTCAACATCACTCATTATCAGAGAAATGCAAATCAAAACCACAATGAGGTACCATTACACACCAGTCAGGATGGCTGCTATCCAAAAGTCTACAAGCAATAAATGCTGGAGAGGGTGTGGAGAAAAGGGAACCCTCTTACATTGTTGGTGGGAATGCAAATTAGTACAGCCACTATGGAAAACAGTGTGGAGATTTCTTAAAAAGCTGGAAATAGAACTGCCATATGACCCAGCAATCCCACTTCTGGGCATACACACTGAGGAAACCAGATCTGAAAGAGACACGTGCACCCCAATGTTCATTGCAGCACTGTTTATAATTTCTAGGACATGGAAGCAACCTAGATGCCCATCAGCAGATGAATGGATAAGGAAGCTGTGGTACATATACACCATGGAATATTACTCAGCCATTAAAAAGAATTCATTTGAATCAGTTCTAATGAGAAGGATGAAACTGGAGCCCATTATACAGAGTGAAGTAAGCGAGAAAGATAAAGATCATTACAGCGTACTAACACATATATATAGAATTTAGAAAGATGGTAATGATAACCCTATATGCAAAACAGAAAAAGAGACACAGATGTACAGAACAGACTTTTGGACTCTGTGGGAGAAGGCGAGGGTGGGATGTTTCGAAAGAACAGCATGTATATCATCTATAGTGAAACAGATCACCAGCCCAGGCTGGATGCATGAGACAAGTGCTCGGGCCTGGTGCACTGGGAAGACCCAGAGGAATCGGGTGGAGAGGGAGGTGGGAGGGGGCATCAGGATGAGGAATACATGCAACTCCATGGCTGATTCATGTCAATGTATGACAAAACCCACTGAAATGTTCTGAAGTAATTAGCCTCCAACTAATAAAAATAAATGAAAAGAAAAAAAAAAGAAGAGGAGAAAATACTTCCGGCACACAGACATGCATGAAAACCCAACAGCAGTGATGGTGCAGAAGGTTAAGTTACCTCCAGCCAAGCCAACATGGAGCACATGATGAAGTCCCATTCGTGCTCTGCCAGAGGAGATGAGCAGTATTTCAGAAACAGGGAAAGGAAACGGATTATCTCTATGTTTACAGCCAGTATCTCTGGACTCACTTCTGACAGGTTACTGTGATAAAGACAAAAACAAGACACTGACGAATTATACAGACATTCAGTGAGAAAAATTTAAATCTTTTAAAAAAAACTTATATATTTATAACAGACTGACTTAAATGTCTACCATCCTATTACTCTACAAAATAGTGACTGTAAGATACATAATCTGAGTCTACATCATACATAGAGGGAAAAATATAAAGTATTACCTACCAACTGAAAAGAAAAATATCTTCGTGATCTTTTTTCCAAGTTATCAGAATTTTTAATAGACCATGTAATAGCTCTCCATCATCTATACTTTTGGTCTGTAGACAAGAATTGAAAATGGCAAGATGTCCAAAACCTCCTATAGCAAAATTAAAACATTTTTTTAATTGCATTGCTACTATAAAAAAAAGAAAGCCTATGCTGAGACAGGTTAAAAACTTTCTTCAAAAGTGTCCAGGTTAATAACTCTAAAATTAGGACTTGAAAGAAAGAGTCAACAAATGACTTATAAGCTCCATAGGCAGGGGCCTGCCACCATACCCAGACCCCAGCACTGAGAAGAAAGTGTGAGGGGAAGGCAGGGGGAAGCACGTGAATGAAACTATGCATTAAATTAGCCTATGCTGTTTTTTTTCTTTCTTTCCTTACCTATAGGACTTATTCGGCATACCCACCTCTCAAAAAACAAAGAAATCTCTAGCTAGAATACAAAGTTAAATAAAGTTGGAAAATAGAACATACTGCTTTATAATTCATGCATTCACTCAGTAAGCATCCATGTCAAGAAAGCTCTTGCGGGGTTCCCTAGTCCTCCTCATTCTTCAATTCTTAAACACTGCCTGCACTCTGAAATTCCCAAGTACATAGAGTATGCCCCCCCCCACTCCTCTAGTATCACTTGTCTGTTGCCCTTACAGCACTGATGTTTGTTATTATCTCACTAGGAAGTAAGTTCCATGAAAGCAGGACCTTGTCTGTTTTACTCATCACCGTATATGGCCCCCTAACACAATGCCCGAGATACACTTATTTTGACTGACTAAATAAAGAACGAATAAATGAATGCATACCAGGTACACTGCTAGACAGATGCCAGGGAGAAAGCTGAACAAAATCCAGTCCCTGGAGGGACTTACTCAGCAGTACTGGCAGACTTAAAAACAGATTAGAATAATATGTACAAAAACCAAGAACCCAGAGCAGGAAACTGTATTGAGTCAGAAAAGGCTTCCCAAAGTTGGTGTGTGAACGGGGATTTATCAAAAGATCAAAGTCTGCAGGACTAGAAAAGGGATGCTCCAAGGAGTGCTAAGGCAGAGTTGTAAGAAAGTACAAACCCCTACAACAGTGTAATCAGCCTCCAACTAATAAAAATAAATGAAAATAAAAAAAGTACAGACTGATCAAAATCCATGACACTTCAGCATGGTCAGGGTCCAGAGTGGAAGCAAAAGAGGTCGAACTGGAGAAATTGGTTGCAATAAGATTATAAACATCTTACCGGCCAAACTAAGGACTTAGGTTTTTATACTGTAGGCAAAAGAGAACCAACAAAGAAAGCAAAAATTAATTGATTAATAACAATGCAGTCTTCCTTAAAGGCAGAGGAAGAATTTTTTTAAAATCTTCCTGACAAAATATCAATAGAAGTGGTTTCAAGTTTAATTAGAAACAACTCATGTTCTAAGAACCGAAAAGTATTCGTTAGCTAATTCTGCTTCATCGCTTGGGTTAGAAGAGAAAAACTGACTGTCAAATCTTAAAACAACACTCCTCTCCCTGTTGGCCTCTGCACAGCTGGGCACCTTCGGACGCGTATGAACAGCACACAGCTGTGTGAACACAGTCCTGTCTTCTGCTGTCCTTCTGTTACAACCTGTGCTGGAGATGCCACCTGCACTCCCATGAGGTAAACCTCTCTTCCATATACAAACCATTCAACAGCATCCCTTTCCTGCCAATGCCATCCCAATCCCACAGTTTAACTATGCAACTGAACTCAACAATAAATCTTAATGCCACAAAAATTTTTGTTTGATATCATGCTATCAAGGCAATTCTGTTTCACTGTGTTTGCTAATGGCATATTCTTCTTCCACTATCTCAAACTTTCAGTACCTTTCTTGAAAAATACAATCCCATTGCCACTCATCAGACAACCTAAAGAGATATGATGCTGTGAAGTTCCCAACCCCTTCTATACTCTCTGTATCTACATCTGCATCCATCCAACAGCTCTCCTTACCTAACCTCCACTTATACATGGTTGGTATCTTTTTTCCCTTTATTTTTTATTTCACACTGGACTACAGTTGATTAACCACACGTGCTTTAGTTATACATGTTACATACGTCTATTCTTTTTCATACCTTTTCCCATTCAGGTTGCTACATAATACTGAGCAGAGTTCCCTGTGTATACAGTGGGTACTTGATGGTTACCCATTTTACATACAGTGGGGTGTTTATGTCAGCCCCAAACTCTCTTCCTCCCCACCCTTCCCCCTGGTAACCATAAGTTTGTTCTCTACATCTGTTTCTGTCATGGCGATTTTTTCTAACTGCTCTTGATCCAATCCTACATGCCCTCCTCTCTCATCTTCTCAGTGGGAACTACCATTCATTATTCCGTCTTCTATTCCTCCTTCTCGCCCTTTGACCCTGTATTCATCTCCAGCTTTCACTTCTTTCCACTTCCCCCTTTTTTTCTCAAATTTTATTGTGGCTGTGCTGGGTCTTCATTGGGACACAGGTTTTTCTCCAGCTGCAGCAACTGAAGGTTTCTCTCTAATTGCTCTGTGTGGGTTTCTCAATGGGTTGGCTTTTCTTGTTTCAGAGCATCGGCTCTAGGGCACGCACGCTTCAGGAGCTGCAGTCCCTGGGCTCTAGAGCACAGGCTCAATAGCTGTGGTGCACGCCTTAGCTGCTCCGCAGCCTGTGGGATCTTCCGGGACCAGGGACTGAACCCGTGTCTCCTGAATTGGCAGGTGGATCCTTTACCACTGAGCCACCAGGGAAGCCCTCCACGTCCCTTTCTACCAAACCCTTAAGAACAGGCTATCTGGCCCTACTTTTTCACCACTATTCATTCCACATTTCAGTCTCTAACTTCATCTGAGCTGTGGCATTTAACAGGTGATAAATATTACCTAAACTCTTGCTTTTGCTTTTTTTAACCTCCAGTCCTTATTCTCAAGTGTCCCTTTACCCACATACCCCTTAAATCTACGTCCTGCTGTTCCCTTGATATCCTTTTCACGCTTCACTCCCCCCAGCACGCTCATCTTCATTTACAGATTATACTACCACCTACTTGACACGGACTCTGAAAGCAGTATTTCCATCCGGCCAACAGCCTATTTACTGCTTACTGACAATCCCCATTTGAATATTTATTCCATAGCCACCTCAATCGTATAATCTCATGTGTCCAAAACTTAACATCAGCTCTCTGTATATTCCTTCGCCACCCTCCGTCCAGCCCTCAAGGCTCCTGGCAGGGTTTCCCACAAGGCCTCATGGCACTTCCATCTGCCCAATCCAGAAATATAACCAACCTCTTTCAGTTCCATCTCTACTCTTCCATCTGTACCTTGATTCAAGAGTTCTTACCTCTCATTTTGATTATTCAAATGGCTCTCTATCTGTGGTCTTTTACCCCTAATTTCTCTCTTCTCCCATAGCCATCCTTCACACAGTTGTCAAGATAATCTTTCTAATGTGAATATGATAGTCTGACTACTTTCCTACCTAATTTGGGCCAATAACTCCTTACTTCCTACCACTTAAAGTCCAAACTCCTTAACTCACAAAATGAGGCATTTATGATCTGTGCCCTACCATTCTCAAGATCCATATTCTTGGGCACCCTAATACTTTGTCCCCAACTTTCTACCTTAAATCCAACCAAAATGAAGCTATCTGCATACTTCTATGTTTCTGAATACCTGGAATGCCTTTCCCTAACTATAAAGCAAAGTATCTTTTACCACTGCTAAAATATTTCTTTTCATGAAAGAGCCACTGACATCTCAAAGCAATGTGGAAAACTCCTTTTCTGCACTTCCGCACATATGATATCTTTATGCTGTATCAGTTATCATATAACTTTCTATCTATCTTCTCTACAAAAGGGACTGCCACATGGTCAGGGTTCAATAAGTGTTGTTAAATTAGCAAGCTAATGAACTAACAAGAGTACAGAATGTCCGAAAAGTTTAAAACATAACAAAAGCTGTTTCCTCTTTTGCTTTTGTAAGTTCACTGGTTGGTTGACTAGGGAGAAATGATGTACAGCTAAGAAGAGCTACACGTGGTACAGAAAAGATTAGAGGGTACCTGTGGTTATACACCTTTCCCTGGGCTGCAGCATTTCTGCACTGCAAAATAAGTCACTCTCCAATGAATGACACTTATCCTATTGAGTCAACTTGTTATGTAGCAAGAATATTAACTAGGAAAAAAATTAGCTATAATTTATCTCTGTTAGAGTTGGATTTAGATGTTAAAAAAACACTTCTTTCATCTCAAGCAATAATTAAATTAATGAAATACTTATCACCAAGTAACTAACCATTGATACGGCAAACATCTTCCTTGGCCCAGGACAAAAGGGCAGGTATACACTGAGCAATGAATTCTTTCTTGTCTTCTTTTGACAAAAATGGACAGAGACTTTGAATAGTATGCATATTACCTTCTGTTAGCGGAAAAAAGCTGTTTAAAGAGGAAAAAAAAGGTATGAATTATATTTATCCTAAATATTTGGTTATTTCATAAAATTCCTCTTACTCATACAATTTAAAAAGACTAGAATTTCCACTATATAAAATAACTGAATAGAAAAAGAATGAAAGAAACTATGAAAGAGGTTGACATTTGCTGATTCTATTTGATGAAACTGGGGACAATTATTTTTTTCTGCTTGTCCTTTTCACATGTTCCTAATTTTCAAAAAATAAGCATATATAACTTTCCCCATGGATGATTTTTTTAATTATACAAAACAGTACATGATTATGATGTCTTTAAGAAATAACCGATCCAATTTAAAGAGGACCAGTTACATACTGCTCCTATAAACTGATACTCATTATGTGCATATATACACTTGGGTTTTATGTATCTAAATTTTACGTCACCTGCTACTTATATATACTTTCTAGACTGCTTTACAGCAGGACATACAGGTACAAAGTATTCTATTTTAAAACTACATAGCTAAATAAAAAACAAAACCAAAATATTCCATACAATCATAATTTAAATATTTCTCTATTAGTGAACATATAGGTTTTTTCCATCAAATTTCTGCTCTTACAAATAACACTATAATAACTGTCCTTGAGCAGGTACTATTCTGCATATGTGCAAACACCTCTTTAGGCTAGATTCCTGGAAGTAGAACTGCAAAATCAAAGGATCTGAATGTATTATATTCTGATAATTTCAAGTTGTTCTTCAAAGAAGAATGATCAATTCACACTTTCACCTCATGTAAGTGGGATCATACAGTACTTATCTTTTTGTGACTGCGTTGTTTCACTTAGCATAATGTCCTCAAGGGTCATCTACATTTTAGTATGTCAAAATTTCCTTCCTTTTTAAGGCTTTATTTTAATAATACTCCATTGCAATGTATGCTACGTTTTGCTTACCCACCCATCTGGTGATGGACACACAGTTTTTGCTCTTACACAGTCAGGTGCCGATGGTTTCTCCTCTGGACTCTGGGTTTGGGCTATGGTTAAGATCTTCCCTGTGCCAAGACTGTACCGTTTCTTATTTTCCCCAAACCCTTTCATAGAACCGGTCATTACATTTAATTTTCATCTGGACCTTACTTTCATGTATAATGTAAGGGAGTGGGTCTCACTTTTTTTTCAAACACAGGTTCAATTTTCCTATCTCACTGATCTGAAAGACCACTTGTATCAAAAACTAAATTTTAATTTATGTGTCCATTGGTATTTAGATTCCATACTTTGATCCAAGGATGCATCTATTCACCAGTTTCATCCTGCTTAATCACTGTGTTGGTAGGGCAAGTCCTTTTCACTTTTCTCTTTCATAAATTTCCTAGCTATTCCTGAGCATTTTTTCCTTTAAACGTATACCATGTTTGGAAGAGTTTGTGAAGTTTTCCAAAAAATGCTGCTGAAATCTTGACTAACATTACACTGAAATTAGATACAACAATCTTTACAATTTATCTTCCCACTTCTGTGATCTTTATTTAAGCTTTACAATTGTAATTTTTCATTAAATTTATTTCTAAGTATTTACAGTTTTGTTGTCAATGTGAAAAGAATCGTTTTTCCTATGCCATTTTAAAATTGATTAGTACTGGTGAATAAGAAAGATACTGACTTTTGTATGTCAAGTATATATCCATCTCACTTGTAATTAGTTCTAGTAGTTCTTTAGCTAATTCCCTACGATGCATGTAAACAGAAGAAAATTTTAAATTATGCTGAATAAAAAAAGCTAATATCAAAAGATCATATGCTGTATGACTCCATTGGTGTGACATTCCTAAAATGGTGAAAATTATAGAAAGAGTAGATTACTGGTTGGCAGAGCGGACGAGAATGGCAGGAGGCAGGCAGCTGTGGCAGGAAAGGGCACCACAGGGATCCTCGTGAACAGCTATTCTGTGTCTTGGGACGTGGTGGTCACATGTGGCCTACAGAACACACAGGTGGGCGCAAGCTAACTCAAGTCACAAGTCAGCGGGCGGTGTCCACGTCATTTCCTGGTTGTGAAATTGCACGAAAGCTACCCAAAATGGTACCATTTGGAAGAAACTAAGTGAAAGGTACATAGAATTTTTTTGTGTTTCTTATAATTGCATGTAAACCTATAATCCACATTAACTAAACTCAAAACAATAAATTTTTTAAATTTAAGATTTAAAAAATCAAAATTTAGCTTACAATTATACTGTGCCAGGACATATATACATACACACACACATACGTATACACATATATATATAATTTCTAAATTCTTCTTGATAAATCTGTAAATTCAAAATGCCTCTTGGTAAATTTCAGGTAAGTGTTTAATCTGAATGCTCAGCTTCTCTAATATAATCAACTCTAGCAAATCTCTAGTATGTCCAACCTCACTATCTATTTTCTTTGCCTTAGGAATATATTTACTGTTTTTTTAGAATTCACTTCAGTGGGATGATCCTTATTTTTAAGAGTAAGTAACTTCCCTTATCACTTCCATTTAGCAAATAAAGGGACAGAAGAAGGCTGTAAGAGAGAGGGAAAAAGATTCTACCCAAGAGACTTCTGGGAAAAAGAGAATAAGCTTATCAAATGCTAATTATTTAAAAGCACATATAAAATTCTTCAACAAAATGTTATAAGGTTAAAAACATCTATTAAAAAAAGATTGGTTCTCAACCTAAAATGACTGGAACTGTTTTATACTCTTTAAGTCTCATATCCTTTCATTTAATTTCCTCATGTCCTAAACCTGTTTTCCTGATTCCTTACACACTGGTTGTTAGTCAAGGGTTGCCAGAGTGACCAATCACAATACATTTCAAAGTAAAAGTATTTTAAATAAAAATACCCTTCTTTTCTCCTATAATGTTGTTTTACTTCATCAGATGAAATACTTCGGGAAAGGATCAACTTAGCAATAATAAGAGACCAAAGGGTGCCGTTTTTCCTGGATCTAAAAAAGAAAAAAAAAAATTCTCTTTTGAAAGTATACTTAATATTTTGAAAAACTTGCTTATCTGCATTCCCGTTACAGAACTAAATAAAACATCTCATCAGAGCATCACTTCACACAGTACTTTTGCACGTAAATAACTGCCGTTACCAAAAGGATTGGCAACTTAGGCTTCTGAAACTCCTTTACTGAGCTCTCATCAAGGCAATCTCAAAGCCCCTTCATCCCAAAAGGGCAGAGGACCTTAGGGATTAAGCTGGAGGATCAGAGGCTGCTGCCGCAAAGAGGACAGAGAAGACCCAGAGGAGACCAAGGATTGCTGAAGCTGAGGAACCAAGGAGGGTATTAACATTCACTGAGCAAAGTTCTGAGAGTCAGTAAGTGGAGTGGGGCTGGAAAGGAAGACCTGTTCAGCCTGAGGCCTCTCATACTGCAAAGCATATGAAAAATACTACAGGCAAATGAAAAACTCTTCAGGAGAAAGCAGTTCAACAGGGTGATTTCAACCAGCTAAACATCAGACCACTATAACCTCTATGATGACTGTTTTCATACCTATTTCCTCATCTAGGGGCAAGGGTTTTGTGGTTACGTTATTAAGAGATACCTGCAATAAATAACATACAAGGTAAAAGGTTAAATTTTACCTTGGAAATTTAAGGTAAAATTTCAGTGGAAGGATGGGTCACATATGACAAATTAAAAGAACTTCTATAGGACTCTCTTTCACTGTCACCTGCCCCTTGAATCATATTCATGGATTTAATAACACATGCAAAGTACAAATATCTCCCCAGAAGAAGAAATCAAGTACTTAGTACCCACAAAGTATGTATCATTAATGACAGATTAATTTAGAACAACCCTCTGATTCAAAGATTAGCATGAAGTGAGCTTACATTTTACAGACACAAAACCATAAACTAGCAAGATAATCATGAAATAAAAATTGAAAAAGGATTCCTACCTGTCAAATAAAAATTGAAAAAGGATTCCTACCTGTCAAATAACAGCTGCAGAAGGCCAGAAGTATTACCAAGTCCACATAAGTTATCATATGTGATATTCATTTTCTGAAGCATTTCACAAAATCCAGTTAGAAAAACAGGTGGATTGTCTAATTCTTCATACCACTGCAATGAATAGAGCAGTTCTGCAACTAACAGAATGGACAGCACATTATCGAGTGCACTTTGTGAACAGCCCTTCCAGTTGTCCTCACTTGTCTCCTATTCTCTAACACTGCTGTGCCCACTAATTCTAAAATATCTATGAACGATTTCCAGCTCTTTGATATACAATCATAATGAAAACTGAGCATATCTGACACAAAACACCACTCCTCTCCCAAACCTTACTTGGTCCCTTTTCTGGTGAGTTAAGACAGTGACAGGAACCGAAGTTATCAGAGATGCTAGAAGCAGCTTCCTACTATTTTTGCCACAAATGGTAAGAAGCTGCATCCAGGATAAACAACTAGGGGACCCAAGACCTGAGAAGTTCAAGTCAACGTATTAAGAAAAGGAAGAGAGCGTGACCCAGTACACAGGGAAGGGCCTCGGGGACAGACCTGTCTGGATTCAAAAGAGCTGCATACACTGTTATCAACCAGGATATGACATTACCTCAGGGGACGGCTGCGAGAATTAAATGACTGAGTTTCACGAAATCTGGCCATATCACAGGTTCTTAATACACAATTAGTCACAACTCTCCAGGTATGGATTTTGGAGTCGAGAGACTTGAAACCTGGTTCAAAATCTAACCCCATCCCTTGAAAGCTCCAGATTAAGAAAAACAACAAAATTTATTACCCCAATTCCCAATGTTGTTTTTGAACAGATTCGCCCAGTGAGTAAAGTAAACAGTAGGCTAAGCTCCTCGATCTTAACTGCAGGTGGAGCTGGCTCACCATAAGAGGTGTTCCTGCTTTCTTCCACAGGGCATATATTCTCTTCTGCAAGGAACCATACTCCACTGAGGCCTTACAACCAAGCCCAACACAGGAATTATTCAAGTCCTCCACCTTTCACACTATTTTGTATAGGTCACATGGCTACCTGCAATGCTATACCATTTCCTAGAATGGGGGGCATTTTCCAAATCTTTTTGAAATTCAACATCTGAATGACCACTTGCCGGGGAAAAAATTATAGCCCTATACAAAGGTACTGATCCAAAAATTAACTGAAAAAAAAATTAATTGAAAATTCAGAATCCCTGATGAAACACAAGCCTTGTTTAACCATTTTCCTTAGGGTTATGCGCTGCAGGGTCTGCTTTTATTGACGACATGCCAGCTAAAGTTAACTGTGGTGGTGGTTTACTTGCTCAGTCGTGTCCAACTCTTTGTGACCCCATGGGCTGCAGCCTGCCAGGCTCCTCTGTCCATGGGATTTTCCAGGAGAGAATACTGGAGTGGGTTGCCATTTCCTTCTCTAGGGGATCTTCCCCACACACAGACTGAACCTGGGTCTCCAGTACTGCAGGCGGATTCTTTACCAACTGAGCCACTAAATTCTGTTCTACTGATAACAAGACTATAGCAAGATTTTTTGGTATGATTCCATCTGATTTGCAATTTAACACTCATCTCTTAAGAGGCCTCAATTTCTAATCACTAAAATAATTTAAAGGAGCTGAAGATTTTTCATTCTTTAAAAACTTAAAAGCATCATCAAAATTATTTCAAAAGTTTAATTAACTTTAATTAAATTCAAGATTTTAAATAATTTCATTTTAATTAATTCAAGACATATTTATATGAATGCTCATATATACTTACTTATTTTCTCAAGTTCATTATTTTCTAGGACTGTTTCCTTTTTCAGTGCAACTAATACCATTTTGCTCAATAATGCTGAAGTACACAAATGGCTGGGAAGTTTCTTTGTATCTTGCTCTTTAAAATCTGTTTTGAAACCCTCATAATTCAAACTTAATCTTCCTTCTAAAAGAGGCCTATGCAACCACTGTAAAAAAAAAAAAAAAAACCCATTAAATTATATACAAAATCATTCAACAGTCTAAATTATTTACTACCTACACAATTAAGACAGGGAACATTAATGAAGTTAGTAGAATATCTTCAAAATGTTCTCAGAATAATTTCAAAAATGAAGCTACTGCTAGCTTACTAGTAAAAGCACAGAAGCCGAGAAATCTGGTTTCTACTAGCAGAAATCCGGAGAAGGCAATGGCAGCCCACTCCAGTACTCCTGCCTGGCGAGTTCCATGGACGGAGGAGCCTGATGGGCTGCAGTCCATGGGGTCGCAAAGAGTTGGACATGACTAAGCAACTTCACTTTCACTTTTCACTTTCATGCACTGGAGAAGGAAATGGCAACCCACTCCAGTATTCTTGCCTGGAGAATCCCGGGGACAGAGGAGCCTGGTGGGCTGCTGTCTATGGGGTCACACAGAGTCGGACACGACTGACGTGACTTGGCAGCAGCAGCAGCAACAGAAATTATCTGCATGTGTATTTGAGGGTACCTTCAGGACAGAACTATGTCCTATTCACTGTGTGCCCTGTCAACTGTTGTGTCAAACTGCTGTCTTATAAATATCAAATATCCAATATATGAGCATTCAAAGGCAGAAAGGGAAAGTAAGATACACATTTCATTTATGTTTTTTATTTTCCAAAATAAAATATTTAAGCCTGCATGAAATCCAAACTTCAGAATGATATGAACACTTTCCAATATCAAACAAACCTGTACGGGAAGAGACTGTCTCATTTTTTCCCATTCGCTGTTGTCTGGCATTACACTTCCAATATAAACTCCCAGGAGATTAGCATCTTTACTCTCTAGAAGAGCATTTAGCAAATCATCAACAGCAGACAAAAGCACCTGAAGACTGAAAATAAAGCAAGGAACTTAACTGCTGAGTTATGCTACAACCAATCTGAACACCCAGGTATACATTAAATACCCTATGGCAGATAACAGTTTACCTGAGCAAAAAGACAAATGAAAATAAAGGTACGTGACACCTCCACCCTCCTCTTATGACTGACACACAATCAAACAGGGGATTTCATCCAACATTCATAATTTGAAATCAAGTGCTGTTTCTATTTCGGAATGAAGGAGACCTATTTCAGATCAGCTATTTCTGAAATACAGCTACTTCATTTCATGAAAAGAGCATGATACTCAGAGAAAGATTTAACCCAACCATGGCAGCTCTGGATGCATTCTCTTAGTTTTCATTTTTTTAATTTATAGATTTAAGTACGAGATGTGAAAAACACCTACAATTTCAATCACTTACAAGAGTGGCTACCAGACCCCCCAAAAAACCAACAATGAAAGACAATCACTATCTGTGGTGGCGGTGCGAGGTTACAGAGTTACAGCCCACAACAGTGCAAGACCAGGAGAGAAACACGTCACATCCGTGACCATAAGTCAGGAGTTTGGCAGGTAAGCGAAAACAAATCATTCTTCAATGACTTGAGTTCAAACGGATGATCATTAAAACAAAATCGTTTTGGAAAAACCTATTTGGATCTTCTCTTAGAATCCTGTGGGTTTCTATTAACAAGTCATTTTTCACAGGCACTCACACTAATCACGAAATCTTATTTAAGGACAATGATCAGTTATTAAAGAGATACTCTGCAACTGAGCATCAAAAAAAGGTTACCTTGTGACATCCAAAGTCGAAGACTGAACTCGGTTCTTCAGCCACAGAGCAGATAAACGTAGGAAGGTGCTCTGTTTATATGTGTCACCAGTTCGATGAACCAATAAATTCACACCAGAGAGCCAAGTATTTTTCAGCTTACTGATGATAAAGTCTAAAATCAAGATGTCAACAGTAATCTGTAGTCCCTCTAAACTAACTATCAGCAATACAAATACTTTAAAGCACTCACTGCAGATCTGAGATTTTTAAGGTACCATTAAGAAAACATAAAACTATTATTTGCCTGCCAAAACAAAATAACTATGTCATAAATATGTGATGGTACAAGCTAGTTCATGCCATATAAATGTAAAAATGGTAAGAATCTCAATTTCATTTTAATATATACCAAGACTGAATGTTTCTAACTATTAAGAGAATGAGATATTAATATACCCCTTTATGAATATGGAAACTGAGGCATCAAGAAATTAGCAACTTGCCAGAGATACGAGTGAAGGGGTTAAGATTAACTCATCTATCACAGCAGCTTCTAAACAGTTCTCTCAACATCAAGTCAGAACTTGAGACAAAATGTCTACATTCATTTTGGTTTAGAAACTTGGTTTCTAAAGCTCAAACTGTTTTAAGATTTGTAGCCCTTTACTCAAAATGCTTTCAACTGGCAAACACATTATGATTCAATTAATAAAGCCTGGGCACTTACACTATGAAGGTCAGAGCCGGAGAATCCCAACAAAACATTTGAGCAGTAGGCTATTACCTGGCAAATGTGTTTTTTCTTTGCTCTCAGCACATAACTGAAAGAGAGTTAATAATAAATCTTCAGATGATGGCATTAGCAAGCATCCTTTCGCTGAGCTGAAGTAGTTATAGGCCACATCACAGATAAAAGACATTGATGAGTCATTATTTTCAGCTTCTGACAATTTCTTTGCTTTGGATAAAGTTTCATGAAGTTTAACAATAATTCTTTCAACATAAACTTCTCCAATCAAGTAATCTAGAGAAAAAAATTCAGGCAGACAAAATATAAATAATATTAACAGTGAATTTTCTTTCAATCTTTTTCATTTTCAATTGGTATACTTTAATACTTTACTTTGGGTTAATATTCCACCTTGTCTTTCCATGTTTTTTAAAAAACAAGGTGTTTATGTATTAGATAGAAGAATACTACATCAATAAATAAGTCTGTTCCCTCACACATAAAAGCCCTCACATAAAAAAAGTTTTAAATTAAGTAAAAAAGACAAAATTTGCGTGAACAGTTAAATTCAAATCCCTTTAAAATATAAAACTGAAAGTAATAAATATCTCAAATCATGTTACAAAGGAAAGGGGGACGACAGAGGACAAGATGGTTGGATGGCATCCCCGATTCAACGGATATGAGTTTGAGCAAACTCCTGGAGATGGTGAAGGACAGGGAAGCTTGGCATGCTGCAGTCCATGGGGTTGCAAAGAGCCAGGCATAGCTGAGCAACTGAACAACAACAGGGTGTTTACAAAATTAAGATATGTGAATGAACTAAACCCTGCTATTTTCAACTAATACTATGCTAACTGAATAACATGGAATCCCCCCAAAAAGGTGAAAAAAATGACTCCCTTCCTACTGAAAACACAAGCCATATGTTTACTTACCATTTTTAACATGTTGGGATAACACCAAGCTTAAAAGAGTCCATCTTTCTGAGAAGTAAGGTTCAGAAGATACTGTGGATTCCAAGTCTTTGTTACAAAGGTGCTCTGCCAAGGTTACCAATTTCTCTCCAAGGATATCTCCTTTGAGCCACAGCGTTACTAAAGCATGATTATCTGAACTAGAGCATGCCTAAAACCATAAAAATCATAGCAAAGATTAGGATCAAGATTAATTAAAAAAAAGTGTACCTGCCTAAAACATTACCTGCACCTGAGTACCTCCCTTCATCAGCATGGCCCCAACTTTACCCCCTACTTCTCCTCCTCAAATGCTAAGAAAGCTGGTATCTTCCCTACTCCCCACTAAGCCTCGTTTATGTACACTTCCATGTTTTGTTCATGCTATCTTCCCAACCATAAATACTTCCCCTCTCTTTTATTTATCAAAATTACATCCATTACTATATTCAGTATAAATCCCACCTGCTTTGTGAAGTCTCCCATAACAGCCCATACTCATCACTGCTTTTCTCTGAATTTCTAGAGCAAATAATGTTTCATCTGTGTATGTCTTGTTTCCAATGAAACTGTAAGTTCCTTGAGAGCAGAGACTGTCTTAAACTTCTTTGATACCTGCTATCAACACTGTAGATATGTTCAACAAATAATGAATGGATGAACTTCAAAGACAGATTTTAAAATGCTCTACAAATGTTAAATTGTTGTTCATTAATTTTGTTAAAATTAAAGAATAATTAACATATAATAGTGGCAAATTACTTCAATATGAACAATGGGACTTATTATTTGCCCAAATTTTATGAAATAGTTACTGAGGCCAGATATCTGACAGCAACTGGTTTATTTTCACGGGGTAGGGAAGTCAAGGAAAAAAACTGTAAATCCACCCCCAAAAGCATGGTGATCCATGTTCCCAGAGCTTCTTTTGGTTTAAGGGCTGAGAAGAAAGGAATTTGCAACCTGGTTCATTTCAAAGCAATCTGGAAAAAAAAAAATCCAAATGCGGATTGGGTAGTGTCTGAAAAACTATTTTATCTCCTTATTCAAAATATTGTAGGTAACGAGAGCTTTTATTTTAGCCCAAGCTTTATCACTATTCTGGCTTTATGACCTTATACAAAGCTCTTAATCAACCCAGACCTATTTCCTAATTTAAAAAATGAACATTAACTTAGAAAATCTGTAAGGTCCTTTCTGGTTACAAAATTCAGGTTTGTTTTTAAAGAAGCTGGCTTTAGGACTCTGCTCATAAAGTAAGAAGTTGCATAAAAACATAAGAAAAACTAGAATTTAGATGGCTATTAATATTGGCTTTCCTAAGGCAGCTTACCAAATAAAAACCAATCTATAGAATCCAGAAAGTAAACTCCTGAATAAAAAGTCTCTCAGGTTATCAAAACATGAAGTCCAACCTCTCAATGTTTTAACACTTTCACAGAAAGAATCTGACCAAAGGATATGGAAGCTAGTTAGGCATGGAAGTACAGAGGCAAACACTGGCTATGAACTCCCAAATGCTGCCCAGGTCTTCCAAACAGAGATATCTGAACTATGTGGTACCTTCCTACGTTGGAAACAGATGTATCAATCTTCTCTTATCAAATTAGTAACTACTTTTGCTCTGATTTTAGACTTATCTAGCAGTTTTATCATAATTGGGCTTTTCATGTAGCCTGCCTATCTGGAGAGAGGTACTGGATAAAGTAATTCAAACGGTGTGCCTGATAAATTATATTTCTCATTGAAAAGGAGTAAATCAATACTCAGTGTTTGTTTTGTAAAAATAAACTGTTGGGGGAAATGGGGAGTTTTTGCTTAATGCGTATAGACTTTCAATGTTGCAAGGTGAAAAAGTATTGGAGATTGGTTGCACAATAACGTAAATATTAATGCTTAACACTTCTAATATTCACCTAATATTAACACAACACTTCTGACACTGCTAAACTGTACTTAGAAATGGTTAAAGATGATAGAGTTTATGTGTTTTTTTTACCATAATTTTAAAATACAGGAAAAAACAAAAACTTTTGTAAACTAGAGTTATGTATGTAAAATTTTAAAATAATGGAAAAATGCTTTTAAAAAAGGAAAACTTTTAGGTAACTAGCCATAGTATTTCTTTGGTTGGAAAAGTGTTACATTATATAATTTACAACTTCATTAGGAAAGAATACTTAAGTCATTTAGAAAATTTTTCTAAATTGTTTATGTTCCTTGACTTCTTTTTATTATTCTCATCACTAATTTTCTTCCTTAGTCAAATGGCAATTAAATAAAGGTGGGAAGAGTTTAGTTTGCCTGTATGGTACTCCAGGGTAAAACAAACTTAATTTATTGATGTGTTCTACTTAAAGCTAGAAACACTCAATCCATCTCTAGAGAAGAAAAAACAACTAGGGTAACAAGAGGAAATCTTACCTTAAAATATAAACTAAGATAAAAGATAAAGCATTTAACTCTTCCTTTGTTACCCACTAGGGAAGAAACATTAGATTTTCAGAAATCTGTTCATTTTTCCCTGATATTCCTAACCAGAAAAAGAATTCTATAGAAAGGTGAACACCATTAAGTCTTCCCAAATTATGTGAAGAAAGTTACAATAATAGGGAAGTTTTTTAACAGAGACACCTGATTACATACTAGTATATGAATATGGCTGTAGTTTTTTTTTTTTTCCCTACACCTATAAATACAGAAAAAAGACAGTATCTCTAAGGTACCTTTTCAATGATCTGAAGAACAGAGTTCCATTTCAGCTCCACCTAAAAGAAGAAAAAGAGAAACAATCTGCTAAAACAAACAGTAACTGGTAAAACTTTTTACAAGTAAAAGTGAGCATGGCATCACTACAAAACTAAAATGCTTTTTAGCTAGTCCTAATTTAAAGAGTCCAACTTTAAAGACTGCAAGAACTTACCGTTTCATTACCAAGTTTTTGTCATCTCAACATATTCGCTCTTAATGGACAGCGACCCAGAAGTCTCACATATTTCTTAATCCCAATCAAGAAGATACTGTCTGCAAACTGACATTCATGGTCCAGAAACAATCCCAAATAACCCCCACCCAGGTCTCATTCTACTCATCCGTCATCAGCGCGCCAATACATAAACCACTACAGCTGAAAGAGAGCAGGGGCTTCCCAGGCGACAGGGCGGTAAAGAATCCACCTGCCAATGCAGGAGACATGGGGTCCACCCCTGGTCTGGGGGGACTCCACGTGCGGTGCAGCAACTGAGCCCGTGGCCACAGCTACTGAAGCCTGAGAGCCTAGAGCCCGTGCTCCTCAACCAGAGAACCGCTGGTGAGAAGCCCGCGCACTGCAAGTAGACAGCAGCCCCCACTCGCCGCAACTAGAGGAAAGCCCCCGCAGCAATGAAGACCCAGCACAGCCAAAAATAAACAAATTAATTAATTAATTAATTTTAAAAAAAGGTCCAGAACAATAATACCTCAGTAAGATCATCCAGAATCGCTTTTCTTTCCACATTACTATCACAGCAACAGAGGGCACTGTACAGAATGTCCACCAGGAAACCGGCATCCTTCCTTTGATCTTTAGTTAACCAACCGGTTATTTTCTGGTACAGAAACTGTACCGCGGGATTTTTTTGTACAAGCTTGGCTATTTCAAGAGGCTTGTCTTTGACAGTGCCCTGTTTTTCATCACTGATCAGCACTTTAAACACTTGGCTTGAGGAGAACGAGCTGAGCAGGGTGGAAAGAAACCTGAGATGCTGCTCCGACTTTTGTTCATTGATGTAATTAATGCTCATCTCTGCCAGTTTACAGACTAAGTCTTCCAAAGGTTTTTTCCTCAGCGGGGATATAAGGTCGGAGCAACTCGGAGAGACAGCAGGTTCAGCCATTAACTCAGAGCCTTCACTGTTCTCTCCCTCTGAGGAGACACATTTTTCATTCTCCTTATTCTTTTCCGGCATCTCATCAGCAAACCTAACCTTACCAACTTTTTTTTTATTTAACTTCAAGGAGCTCTTGGGCTTTTGAAGCACCTGCAATAGATGAGAAACACCCAAAACTGACTTAACATCGGCTTCTGGCTCATTGATTTTCTCAACACAGATCTCTGATAGTCTTTCCCAGAAATTCAGCAGCACTTTCTCCAAGTTGCGGGCTGTTTTATAATCTTTTTCCAAATCGGCTCTGGCTTCCCAGGAACTTAAAGTTTCTGCCAAATGGTTAAATAGCTGCCCATCTTGCAACTTTGGGTCTTTGAGAACTGCATCAATAAAAGGAATCAACTGAAAGAGAAGGCAGAAATATAAAAGTTCACTTTTCAGGAGAAATAAAATGTGAACCTTATTTGTAAAGCATTATAAATTTTCTCATTTAATAACTGAAAAACATGATTTTCCCCCCAAACTCTGAAAAGAGTTAAGTTGAACTTGAAAATCACTTTCACATCATTCAAAGAGCCTAATGATTCCACTGCTTCTCCTGTGAATTACTTTTTATGGTATAACTGACCAAGATTATTGGTCATCAACAAGTAATACAGTTTTCTTTGTATCTTCTGAACTTACTCAAGTTTTTTGCTTTTTTCTCAATCCCAATATGAAAGAAATGTAAGACCCAAACAATTCAGAATGCTTTCTCTTAAATTACAAAGATAAGGAAAATTAAATATCTGAGATCAACTAGAATCTGGGCTTCCATAATCACAGTAATTAATTTCCTGCCTTAAGGAACCTTATTCCAGAACCCGCTCTTATAGTCCTAAAAGCTAAGCACAGTTATTCACAAAAGGATAGATGTACTACATATTTTAGAAGGAACAGGATGATTATTATATAATTTAAAATAAAACACAAAAGACTGAAAATCACATCTTCTAAATTGTTTTCCATTTCAACTCTCTAAAACAGGGTTTGCACAACCAGAGAATTACTAGCCCTTAGACATTATGGTATAATGCTAGTAACTAATAATACAGAAATTTTATTTATCTGGTCAGTAATATACATTACTGTATAAAAAATTACAAATCATAATGAAATCTTTACAAGGAAGGTTAATTGATAAAAATGACAGAAACACACACAATGAGCTTGATTCTTTTTTTTTTTTGAGCTTGATTCTTTACATGTAGTATGCAAAGGCAGTGGTGAGTTTTACAATATAAATACCTGATCATTGATGAGCATCTCTTCTATCTCTTCCTCCCCTAAGTTTTGTTGCATTATAAAACGTAAGCATTCAAAAAAAGCAGATATCACTGCTGAGCACTCTGAAAAGCTGGTTTTGGTTCTTTCTGTTGATAGCCTAAGAAATAATAAATACATGTGGCTTATTCTTCCATGAAAAAGAAAATAAGCAACTCAAAAACACCAAAATAAAGACATGGAAAATGATTTCTAAAAAATGTGGCTTATTCTTCCATGAAAAAGAAAATAAGCAATTCAAAAACACCAAAATAAAGACATGGAAAATGATTTCTAAAAAATAAAATTCTTAAATGAAAAACTAAGGCCAACCAACCAAAATACAGCCCTATTAGAATATAAATTTGAAGAACTGAAAAAAAGCATATTTTCAAAAATGGGTCCACAGAAGATAACATTTATTTTCTATTCATGAACCAATCCACCTGCAAATTTCAAAGAGAAGCCTTAACCAAATAAAGAGGGTAGTGTTGTGAAAAAAAATTTAATCATTAATAAAACTGGGTATCTTTTACTAAGTTCAACAAATACACTGAAATGACACTTTAAGTGTGAGTTTAATGAGCTATTATATTTAAATTAATGGAAGACGTCACCAGTTGATTTTCTGCATGTGGGCATTTGTATTTATCAATATACAAAAAAATGGGTCATTGAAAAGGAGTCTATTTCCACCTAAAGGGTCTTACAATACTTTACCTCACTTTTGCTAGTCTGTTACTGAAGACTTGAAAGTATCACAAAAAAGAATTCCAATTATAATTGTCTGAAAACTTTAGAAGTGTTTAATGAACAGCAGAACAATCTGAGGAAATTTAAGTATGACAATAACGATGTCATTCTGTCCAGTTATAAAAATAAGAAAAAAATACATTTGGCTTTAAAGGTCAAAAATTCAAATTCCTGGGGTTTCCCTGTTGGCTGAGTAGTAAAGAATCTGCCTGCTAATTCAGGAGACACAAGTTCGGTCCCTGATCTGGGAAGATCCCACATGTCGAAGAGCAACTAGCTTGCACGCCTGAACTACTGAGTCTACGCTACGACTACTGCAGCTGGCGCTCCCCAGAGCCCACGCTCCGCAAGGAGAGAAGGCGCTGCAGTAAGGCACCTGTGCACTGCACCCAGGGAAAGGCCCGAGCAGCAGTGAAGGCCCACCCAGCACAGCCAAACCAGATAAACAAACAACCTTACCCTGCAACTAGCGAGGTGAGGAAATTCTTGAAGAAATCCAACTTTGGATCTGTAATGGACTGAGGGAGTTTGCTGATGAAGGGCAGAAGGTAAGGATATATCACAGTAGCCAGACCCCGACCTCCTTCACGAACCACAGCTGACAGCTTGGGAAACACACTTTTTTTTGCATTTACATGAAGCCAACAGTCCTTACCAAGAAAAAAAAAAAAGATTATAATAGTAATTAGAGATCATAAACATACATTTCCCAATCAAGAGAAAAGACATAGAGACTCTCAAAAATAAAATTCAAGTATTTTACCTAAAGGGGGTAAAAAAATCTGTCAGTACAAACTAAAAATTTGAAATTATAAGAAATTTATTACACTATGGTTGTGATAAAAAAAATTAAAAATAAATAAATAAATTAATTAATTAATTAAAAAAAAAAAAGAAAAGAAATTTATTACATATGGTAGACAGGTATCCAACATGCTTCCAGGACAATATGGTTCAAAATAATTATTTAACTTGAAAGATTCCTAAAAAAGCTGCTTTCTAAACAAGTTAAAAAAAAAAAAAGCTGCTTTCTAAAAGTGACAGCAATTATTGTTGTTGTTTAATCTCTAAGTTGTGTCCAACTCTTGCGACCCCATGCACTGTAGCACAACAGGCTGCCCTGTCCTTCAGTATCTCCTAGAGTCTTATATGTAAGATTCAGATATGTTGACTTCGTTAAGCCGTACAAGAATAGATATTGACTAAAGTGAAAGTAAAATAAAAACTCTATATTTTATTTTATAGTCAGTTTATGATTTATACCAAGTTTTGGATTAAAGTATTTGATGTCCAAGAAAGCATTTTTCTAGCAAGTTTTAAAAATTATAACCTGATAGGCTCTCTTGCATGGTATGTAAGGCATCTAAAACACAATTAAAGGAACTTCCCTGGTGGTCCAGTGGCTAAGACTCCTTGCTCCCAATGCAGAGGCCCCAGGGTCCCATCCCTGGTCAGTGAACTAGATCCCATAAGAGGCAACTAAGAGTTCATGTGCCTCAACTCAAGATCCCAACTAAAAGAACTCACATGCTGCAACTAAAAATCCTGTGTGCCCAACAAAGATCAAAGATCTTGCATGCTGTAACCAAAACCCAGTGCAGCCAAATAACTATGAAAAAAAAACCCACAATTAAGGAGACAAGTATTCCCAGATATACTAAACGTACCTCTCTTACTTACCTCAACAGTTGTAAGTGTATAAAGTACAGCTTCCCAGAGAGCAGGGCATACAATGGGATCACTGTCATCAATGCTAAGAAGAACGGACGGGCTCACTTTGGATGCTTCATCTTTCATCAAGTGTGGAATACGCTGGCACAAAGCAGAAACTAACTCAAAATAGGCTGAGCGGATCTGAAAGAAAAAGTGGAAAGCTGACTTAAAGTCTAGTAAAGATATGATAAAAAATTTTTTTATTTATGGCCATGGCAGGTAGGTTATCCATACTAACCTTCCATAAATAAAACTAAAAGGGTTAGAAAAAACTTTTTAAGAATCTTAACATTAAAAAAAAACCTTAAGGACACCACATGGCTGAAAAGACATTAGGATTTACCAAGCCAAAAGTGAAGGCACAAAGAATTCAACTTTCTACTATTTTGGCTCAAGCAAATAGAAATCTCCAGTCTCAGAAGCCTTCATTTGGGGACTCAAATTATCCCTACGAATATACCAATCAGTACAAAGCTGAATACAGTCAAACAAAAAATAAGATACTATGAGCCACTATGAGCAGAAACAAAAGATAACACAGAGTGAGACTTAAAGTTTAGAATTATCTGTCAGTTACAAACTTCATATCAACAATCTTTGTTACATTTAAAGAAACAAAAGTTTAAAGAAATCTGAAGGGAAAAGGATCTTAGAAAAAGCACAGCAGATCTGGAAAGGAACCAAGTACAATTTCTAAACCAAAAGTAAATACACAAATAAGAGCACAATTCATAGTTTAAGAGCATCATTCTACCACCACTTCTATTCAATATAGTACTGAGGACATAATAAATACAGAGGAAAAAAGGGGGCAGGGGAAGAACTAGAAAGTAACCCAAGTCTATCTAGAATCATAGCAAAATAATAGGCTACAAAAATAGTAAAGAATTTAAAGGTAAACTATAAAACTAACTGGAGTTTGGAAGAGTTGCTGGATACAAATTAGCAATAGCACAGCACTGTGCAACAAAAGCACAGAATTCCTACACAACAGCAGAAACCAAAGGGAATCTGGGATTAAAAAAAAGTTCACAACAGTGACAGAAACAACATTCAGTATGCAGCATATTATAAAACATGATTCCAGGATGCCAAGGGCCTTAAGGAACCTACAGAGTTCTGAAAAAGAAGAGCAAAGTTGGAGGGTTTCAAGACGCACCATAAAACAATAATAAGAGTGTGGTACTGGTATAAAGAGAGACATAAGACGTAATGGGCAAAGAGCACAAGATTAAAATCCCACACATATGTTCAACTGAATTTTGACAAAGAAGTCAGAGCTGGGGTTGGGGGAGGCAGGGAGTTAGTAGTCTTTCAACAGATACCTATACAAAAATAAATTTGACTCTCACCTTTATGCCTACACAAAAATTAACTCTAGATGGACCTAAACTATAGAACTTCTAGAATAAAATATTTTAAAAAATCTTTGTATCTTTCAAACAGGCAAAGATTCCTTAGATAAGACATCAAAAGTATGAAGTGTAACAGAAAAAAAAAAGATCAAAGGAACTTCAAAATCAGCTACTCTCCAACAACCATGAAAAAAGTGAAAAGGCAAGGTACATACAAGAAGAGAACATTCATGTTTTCTCTGACATAATACTTATATACGGGATAAATAAAGCACATGTATAACTCAAAAATAAAAACCAAAAACTCAACTTACAAATAGGCAAAAGAATATGGAATAGTGAGATCGATACGTCGATCTTCCTGCAAAGAACAACTACAGACTCTATGAACCAGACCCAAAAAGCGATCTGAGGTCTCTGAAGACTGAGATAAACACTCTGGCGGCAGCGAGAGCACCCGGAGGAAGCAGTCCGCACATACCGAGCTCCCATGTTCTCAGCTCTGCCCTGAGGGCGGTGGCACGGGGCGCAGCTACAGCGACCTGAGCCCTTCTTGGGGGGCTGGAGGAGCTAGGAAAAGGAGCCGGGGTAGCCAAGACTGCAGCAGAGCGGCCGGGACCTGCAGAGAGCGGACAGCCCCGTCCTGCGTTTAAACAGGAGTCTGCCGTTTGAGTCGGCCCAAGCTGATTGCCCACGAGCACAAGCACATCAACACCCTCTGGAGCAATGTAAAACAATCCTGTCTCCAAAACACAATGTTCCAGGCTATAATCGAAATATTTATGTCCAAGATAAAATCTAACATCACTCAACATACAAAAGCCAAGAAAAGGTGATCCCATCTCAAAGCATAAGATAATTAACTGATGCCAATCCCAAGATGATCCAGATGATACTATAAGACATGGACTTTGAAGCAGCTGTTATAACTATACTCAGTAAGGTAAAGAAAACTATAACAACGAATGGAAAAACACGAGATAAATGTCATTATACATCTGTCAAAGCCTACGGAACATACAGCATCAACATGAACCCTAATGTAAAGTATAGACTCTGGATAATAATGATGTTTCAATGTAGGTTCATCAATTGTGAAAAAAAAAAAGGTATCACTCTGGTATAGAGATGTTGATAATGGGGGAAACTATGTATGTGAGGGGCAGGAGGTATATTTGAAATATCTGCACTTTTCCCTCAATTTTGCTGTAACCTAAAACTGCTCTTTAAAAAGTAGAAAATTTCATCAAAGAAACAAAAGATACAAAAATCAAGTAGAAATTCTAGGTATAAAAGATACAATATATTGAAGTTAAATGAGCAAAAGGGTTAAAGAGACACCTCAAAAAAAAAAAAAAAGATAGGGAATTCCCTGGCAGTCCAGTGGTCAGGACTCAGCACTTTCACTGCAGGGGCCTGGGTTTGATCTCTGGTTATAGAACTAAGATTCTGCTTTCCCACTTGCCACATGATAGGGCCGAAAAAAAAAAAGATATACAATGGTCAATAAGCACATTAAAAGATGTTCAATATCATCAGCCCTGAGGGAAATGCAAATTAAAACCACAATGAAAAGTCTCTACTCCAGAGGTCAGCAAACATTTTCTTTAAAGAGCCAGAAAAGAAACATTTTAAACTGCGCACTGGTCCCTGTCACTACTTCGCTCTGCCATGGTAGCATAAAGCCGCCACAAACAATACAAAAATGATTCACAAGAACAGGTCAGCTGTACCAGATTTTGATTCATGAGCTGTAAGTTGCTGATCCCCGATCCCACATCTGAGACAATGACTTCAAACAACAGACAATATCAGAGTAAGGAAATAGAAACAAAAACTTCATACACTGCTGATCAGAGTGGAAACAGTACAACCACTTTGAAATACTGATACAAGCAACAACAAAGAATCTTCAAAACATTATGCTGAGCAAAAGAAGCCAGATACAGGAAAGTCCCTGGTGGTCTAGTGGTTAGGGCTCCAAGTGCTCACTGCCAAGGCCCCAGGTTCAATCCCTGGCTGGCAGAACTAAAATCCAACAAGCTATGTGGTATGGCCAAAAAAAAAAAAAAAAACCCCAGCCAAATACAAAGTAATAAATAAATAATTAAAAGAAAATTTTTTTAAGTGAGAAAGGTCTTCATAAGGCAAAACCAGTGGTTTTGATTACATCGAAATTAAGATTTTTTTTTTTAATAAAAGAGGACACATGAAAGGTAACAGAATGGAGGATAATTTACAATGCCTGAAAGTGACAAACAAGGACTAATACTGAAAATATACAAGGAACTCCTGTAGAATAAGAAAAAGAATTCTAGTAGAAAAAAAGGAGAAAGATATGAACAAGTAGTTTATAGAGGAAACACAAACATTTCAAAAGCTTATGAAGAGATGGTAAGTCGCCAGTTAACAGAGTAATTAAACTTAAAAACAGCTTCATTTGAGACTGATAAAAAAATAGGAAGTTGAATGATGCCTAGTCCTGGCTACAATATAAGATACATATCAATAGTATTCATCATGTATTGCTGGTTGAGCCTAGAGCAATGCAGCCCATCAGGTGAGCACTCTGGTGCTACTTTAGAAAATTAAGTATGCATATACTCTTTTCTTTGACTCAGCAATTCAAAAATTAAGAGGATTTCAGAAAAAGAAATTCTCACAGATCCGGGGATACATGAATGAAGATGCTAACTGCTGCCTTATTTGTGGGAGCAGGGAGTCCAAGGCAACCAGGGTGTCTATCACTGGGGAAGTTAACAGGTATAAAATGGAATGAACGCAAACTTCTGAGTACTACCCATCAGTGAGAAGCCTCGGACCAACCGTACACATACAGGAATGTAAAACAGTTCAGTACTTTTTAAAAAAACTACCAAGTAAAAAGCAATAAATGAGATGAAATATAACAAGGAATTGTTCATGTTGAATTAAAAACACATAGGTTGGGACATGCCTAACAAGGAAAATTAGATAAACTTAATTCAGGCATGAATACTGTGTGGGAGTTCAAAGTTAGTGAACCAACAATATATATTAAATAAGGTGTCTTTAAACAGACAAACATTTAATAAGGTAATGTACTGACCAATTACTGAAATGTTGTGACCAGAGACTCACAGGAACCCTAAGAGCAATGCTTCAGTATGCAGGGTTTGTGCACTTCACAGAATATAATTATCATAAACAATGAGACAACTACACAAGCAAAAGCACACAGATTAATCACATTTAGAATGGTCAGCTGGTGGAGGTGGAGAAAGGAGAAAGACAAAAAGGAAAAAACAAATACATTAAATGAAAAAGCATTAAACACACACACATACAAGTTTTGAAGTGCCATGAACAGAGGAAGACGACGATTTAACTCTGCATCTGAGGTCCAAATAACTAAGTAAAAAAACGGAAATACGATAACATTCTAGTAAGATAGGCGATTCAGTCCCAGCACAAAAATGTGTTTGCAGAGTTTAAACATACACAATAAACATTAAGCATAAATAAAAACTAACAAGATCAGGGGAGAAAAAGGAATCAGAGAAAGGTCTTAAAAACAAAAGTTTAAGATACCTGAGGTATACTGTGTTTTCCATACTTCCAAAACTTATTCTGTGATAAAAGAGATTTAAATTTCTCCTCCAGAGAGTCAAGCTCATTATCAGATAACAGGCAAAGCAATTTCTTTAATGCCAATAAGGAACAAGTTACGACTCGATAGAATTTAGCATCTCTCTCTTCCTCTGGAACAGTTCTTGATGTAAAAAGAAAATAAATATACATAAGGATTGAGAATAAGACAAGCTACGTATGCAGAACTTCTTTTTTAAATGTTTTATCACTGAATATCTACCAAAGTTACTTTATTTCTATACTCATTCTCCCTGTGTCAAACCCCCACAAAATACGAATATACATACAATTTTAATCACATATTTTTTGAATAATACCAGGTTAAAGTAGATGCAAAGGAGTGGCCTGAAATAAGTGTATATGTATACATCACTTTCAGTAGCAGTTAACTGGACGATTCTGGAGAATAAATAATACTGTATCTAAGACTGCTTTCCCTTACAGACTCTTAATAGCTTCATTAGAACACAAGAGTAAAAGGCAAATGGAACATCTTACTATTCTTTTAATAGAACTATTCAGAGTTCTTCAATTATTTTCATCCAGACCTTAAAATGTTTCCTGCTATGACTGTCAAAAGGCAAATGTGGAAAAAAAAAATCTAAAACCATCTTTTTGTAAAAGAACCAAATGTGTGAGCTCCCAGATAATTCAAATTAAATAGAGGGACAACTTGCAGGTAAGCACCTGGTAAGTAACATTGCATTAAGTATCTTCATCTCTACATTCCGAATCCTTTTTCTCTTTTTTAAAGAATCCCTTTTTTGGTGGGAGGGGGGACCGGGATGGGGAATACATGTAAATCCATGGCTAATTCATTTCAATGTATGACAAAACCCACTGCAATGATGTAAAGTTATTAGCCTCCAACTAATAAAAATAAATGGAAAAAAAAAAAAAAAAGAATCCCTTTTTTCAACGTCACATTGAAATTATCCTCTTGTTACCTATGACCAATGTGTGCAACAGAGTTTCACTTAACCTGAGTCACATAGACACAATACAACTTACTGTGGGTCACTGAGGGTATCAGGTGTTTCTTTGATAAGATGATCCTGTAGCACCTACAGAGGGGGATTGAGATCTTATTGAACTGTTGATGGTGAAGAGATAAGAGTATAAACTACATCTTACCTAAAAGTTATTAATCCTCTTCCTCGCAAAAGGAGCAAAACTAAAAGGTCTGAATTTCACCAATGTTTTCCCCTTACTAATTCCCAAGGTTGGCAGCTGTGGATAAAGATGCTTTTCTAGCTTCTGCCAGGAGGAACTTCTCCCTAAATACTCTTGTCCTCTTGCTTTTTTACATTCCTCTCTGCAGGCAGTAGTGAAGTGAAAGGACAGCTGATTAGTAGGTCTGAGACAGAATCAGGCTCTGCTTCCCTCACCCGGCAGTTTCGAGCACCTCCCTGCTCAGAGGGAAGAACACATACTGTGTTCTGCTCCATCACAGAGGAGAGTCTAAGGTTCCATTTGAAATGCAGGGTAAGGCTGCTTACTTCCTGGGTGGAGTATGAGCAAGTCCAAAGCTCCAGTATCAATTTTATCAGCAATAACAATAGCCAGAGTTTACTGAGCTTTTCCACCCACCAGGAATCCCATGCATCACCTAAATTAATCCTCACAACAACTCAGTGAAGTACCAGGGAATTCTCACTTTAATAGATGAGGAAGTGGAGGCAGAGAAACTTGCTCATGGTCAAACACCCCAGCTAATGGCAGAGAGGGACTGGAACCCAATGGTATGAGCCAGAGCCCATGATCTGACAGACACTATGACATTTTAATCTCGTTTGTCTTACTCCTCTCTAATAAATTGATTTTGAACTCAGAAGAGTTCAAACCAGTATCTGTATGGCTGTGATACAGCCAACTAAAGGTAAAACAACACAGGAACTAATCCACATATTCAATGATCAGTTATCCAATCATAACAAAACCAAGAACAACAACAACAACAAAAAACTAGGAAGAGCCAAATTAATTGTCTCAAAACCCATTTCCTAAAACACTTTAAGTGTTCAAACTCATGACACTTCACTCTCATAACATTTATGCTTGATATTTTGAATAAACCAATGATTCCTAATTTACAGTTAGGTCAGAGAACTCCCTTTGAGAATATGATTAAAGCTAGAAACCTTCACTCTAAAAAATGAACTTTGGTACCCCAGAAAAACAAAGAATGAAGACCAAGAATTTAAATGAGGAACTAGAATGCATATGTGTGCCTGTGCAGAGAGATGCTGGGCAAAGAGATCAGATATGTAATAAGGGATCATGAAGAATCCTGTAGGCCAAGAGAAGCAATTTGAATTTGAAAGGGTAATGGCAACCACAGAAGGCTGATTAATTTAAAGGAGTAAGGAAGGGAAGGAGGGAGGGAGGTAAAGAGAGGATGTTTAAGTAGGATTATACACAGGGTGCTATGGAAATATGAGTACTACATAGGGGAATGAATGAGAGCATGATTTTTTCTAAACCTCATCTCTCCTCAATGGACTCACAGCTCACCTATTCTTACTTCTTGCTATAATACTAACAAGTCTGGAATTTATTTTTTCTAGTTCATATATTAGGAATGGCAAATGAGGGAAAAAATGAAAAAAGGACAGTATTACACACAAACTGAAAGTCATAAAAGCTATGGCCAATATCAGTTTGGTAAAGGTGTTGGCCAAGTGTTAGAGAAATGTATACCTGTTAATGGGAGTATAAATCTGGATGGCCTTTTGAAGGGCAATTTATCCATAGCTACAAAAATTTAAATGTTCTTATCTTTTGACCCAACATATTGAATTACTAGAAGTTCTGGTAACTCCCATACCTACAGCATATGAAGAGATCTATTCAAAAATGTTCACTGAAGCAGTGTTCATTACCATAAAAAACTGGGGAAAAACCCCAAATGTATACTAATGTGAAAGATGTTAAATCAACTGTAGTACCTAAATACAAAGGATTATCAGGATGAAATCTATCTATATACATGTATTGATTTGAAAATATGGGAGAAAAAAGTTTAGATTTAATTTTTAGATGGATTCTTTTTTAGTTTATATATTACAAAGCACATACCTCAATCTTTTAGACATGGTAAGTTAGATATTAAAATCAAGAAGGAAAAACCTAAATATTTTAAGAATGGTCCAATTTGAAAAATTAATTATGTTTAAAAAGCCAAAATGGTCAATTTTGTTATACACCATTTAAAAAAGGCAATCTTCCACTGAAACTATTTTCATTTCTCATTCCTTCACAATACTAGATGAAAGAGGTGCCTTTGTAATATGCCTCATATCCCTTAAATACTTTAAAAAACAGATATGGAATGGTTCCTAGGACTTACGCTTGTGATTTCATCCTTACAAAATGCTATGGCTTCAGGTTGCTTGCTCGGAGGGAAAGCTGCTTCAAAGGCATCTTTTGCTGCAGAGGCAGCTGGTGTGTAAGTATCACACTGAGCCATCAGCCAATAACCCATTAAACTTTTTAAATAAGGAGCCAAGTGTTTCTTTACTTTAAGGATAAGTTTTTCAAAAGCTTGCTGTGTGGCTTCTCGAACCCGGCGGTCATGATCCTATTGAAAACATAGTAAGGTTTAAAACAGTTCTAACCCATAAAAACAAATAAAGACATTTCTGGGTATGCTATGAAGACCCATTAATAAGAATTCACCTGTGTGCAGAACTAATGGAAAATCCATAATTATATAGGAAAACTGATTAATTTTTCCTTTTTCCCAATGAGATAAAAGGAACTATATTCAAGATGGAGTCAAGGCTACTCCTGGGATAATGAAGCATTTCATTCTCATTTTTTCGGAGCAAGTATACAAAGAAACTACATTGTCAAAATTTGTTGCTGTTTAGTCACTAAGTCGCCTCCAACTCTTTTGCACCCTGTGGAGTGTAGCCCGCTACTCTCCTCTGTGCTTGGGATTTCCCAAGCATGAATACTGGAGAAGGTTGCCATTTCCTTCTCCAGGGGATCTTTCAGACCCAGGGATAGAACCTGAGTCTCCTTCATTAGCAGGCGGATTCTTTACTGCTTTACTGGGCCACCAGGGAAGCCCTGTCAAAATTTACTATGACTTAAAAGTGTCTAGGGGGGCCTTCCCTGATAGCTCAGTTGGTAAAGAATCCGCCTGCAATGCAGGAAACCCCAGTTCGATTCCAGGGTTGGAAAGATCCGCTGGAAAAGGGTTAGGCCACCCACTTCAGTATTCTTGGGCTCCCCTTGCAGATCAGTTGGTAAAGAATCCGCCTGGAATGCAGGAGACCTGGGTTCGATCCCTAGGTTGGGAAGATCCCCTGGAGAAGGGAAAGGCTACCCACTCTAGTATTCTGGCCTGGAGAATTCCACGGACTATATAGTCCATGGGGTCTCAAAGAGTTGGACATGATTTTCATTTTCACTTTTCAAAAGTATCTAGGTAATTCTATAGTAACGACCTATTTTCCGAAAACACATACTCCTCTGCACAACCTACATAATCTAATCTGTATAACCATACTGACATAACAATCCATAACCCTCACCAAAAATGAATCATATAAATTTGATAGTCCTCATAACTTCAAACAAAAACAAAATATCAACACAACAGAAATAAACTAGGGAAGTCTGAATACTTACAAGCGAAATTTTGCAGAAAATTCTCGGCCAGTATGGAAGAACTCCTTTTACAACTTCTGTATCTCTCTCTGTACACATAGTTCCAAATTCCTGCATAGCCTAAAAGTAAATTATTAAAATCATTAGCCAAGGAATCAACAGCCATAATATTAACTATTGATTATATTTCTGCTTTTTAAAATGGCAGAAATATTTTATGTAACATGAGAATACTTTGTTTCTGTTTGTGCCATATAATACTAATCTTAAGAGTTCCATCACAGATCACTATGGGAGAAACTTTTCCTTTTTTTTCCTCTTTTTTAAAAAATACAAAACATATACAAACAAAAAAACACACTTACAATTATAGGGTCAAAATTGCATTATCTAATAGGAAAAAATGTATAGTCAGAATTCCAAAGTGATTCTAAAAAGTGCAGAACAACAAACTAACTTATAATGCAAAAGACAAGTATAAAATGTGTCAGAAAAAAAGTACAATTGTAGAAGTATTTATTAGTGGTAAATGATTTCACTGTTCCTTATATAACATATGCTAATGATGGGAATTCCCTGGCAGTTCAGTGGTTAGGACTCCATGCTTCCAATACAGGGGTCGCTGGTTAGAACTCTGGTTGTGCAATTTGGCCAGGAAAAAAAAAATAAACCAATGACATTTTAACAAAAAGATTCCCTTGATCATTTTAATGAAAACAAAACTTGCTTTTAGTTTTGTTGTGACATCTTTCTTAGAAAGTTTCCGCAGCACCATTCGGAAATCAGAATCCACAAGACTGTCTATTTCTTCAGCTCCTTGAATAGCAGGAACATAGCCTAGGTCACTGTGAAATGTTCCAAAACCAATAAATCCAGGCACCGTTCCCTGTTCCTTGGCAAGGAGTTCGGCAGCTCGGCCACTGTTTGAAGGCTGGTAAGAGAGCAGGGGGAAAAACAGTCAGAGTTCAGGAAGAGTTCAAAATTTAACTGAGTTCTTTAGAATAATTCCCTGACAATTCCCACCAGGAAGCAAACTCATTTGAGGACATTTTCCCCATAGCCTATGCCTCTATTGTAATGTTCCCCAAAGATGAATACTGTGTCACAAGTACTTAACGATAATGATCCTAGGAGCTATTTCCCGGTTTCCTAAACATCAGAACAACGTTTTTTAAGTTATGACTACAAGCCATTAGGGGCTTCCCAGATGGCTCAGTGGGTAAAGAACCCGCCTGCAATGCCGGAGACATGGGCAGACATGAGTTCGATCCCTGGGTTGGGAAGATCCCCTGGAGGAGGGCATAGCAACCCACTCCAGTATTCTTGTCTGGAGAATCCCATGGACAGAGGAGCCTGGTGGGGCTACAGTCCACGGGGTCGAGGAGAATCGGACACACTACAGTGACTGAGCATGCACACACACAAGTCATTAGAGGCTCCTGACATCAACTTAACAGGCTGTAGGTCATTTTAAAGAAAATGAACAAAATTTTAAAAATCAGAATACATCACATATGGTGAGAATAAGTACCGTTTTGTGAAGTTTTTTATTTCAAACTTTTTTATAAATAGTATGTATACACATATATGTGTGCTGTGTAGTGATGCAAACTGAACTCATAAATGGATTATATCTTTTCATTCATTCACTCATTCAAGAAATTACTAAACAACTATCACAGGATAAGTCTAATGACAGCGGCTTCTAGACCAAGAGTTCCCTGTGGGCAGACACACTCATTTCCATATACCAAAGCCTAGCCTAATGGGCTAAAATGGTTACAAACTACATTAGTTATGGACATAAAAATAAATACAGTGGTCAGGATATAAGATACATTCTTTTGTTTTGAATCATAGTCAGTGGTTTGTTGGAAGCTACATAATATGGTAGCTTCCAGTAGGATTCTTTGTGACAGATACAGAAAATACCTAAACTGTTGAAAGAAATTAAGGTATTCACTGTCATCTAATATGAAAATACCTCAGCTCAATGTCCAGGATGACATCACAACCCATCTAAACTCATCTGTTTCTTATTTCTCTGTAAGAATGTGTGAAAATACAAAAGTGTGATTTAGTTTGCTGATACCCAGCAAAACTGTGTTTGGGAAACTCATTTATCAAGAAATAATAACATGGACTACTTTCTGAAATGAAATGAGTGACCAGAAATGAAAATGATGGACTCATTTCCCCCCCACCCAACAGAAGCATTTAAGACTAATTTCAAAAAAGGTACTCTATTTGAAGACATTATTAAAATGAATTAACATTATTCAGTTCACCTTTCTCAATACTGACACATGAATAAAGAGCTGCAAAGACGGACTTAAGAAATCCACCTGCCAGTGCAGGGGACATGCATTCAAGCCTGGGTCCAGGAAAACCCCACGCCCTGCAAGGCGACCAAGCCTGTGCACCACAACTGACGATGCAGGGAGAAGTCCACCCAGGAAAACTGGAAGAGGCCCATGTGTAGCCACGAAGACCCAGCATAGCCAAAGAGAAAATAAAATTAATTAATTTTTTTAAAAGACCTACAAAGGAAGTCAGTGAGGTATAATTTTGAAAACCAACCATGATGCCACTAAGACATTGAAATTTTCTCTATAAACTCATGAGTAAAGTTTCATTGTGAAACAGAATAGTTAAATAGTATAAAAAGCTGAAGGAGTCAAGGCTGAACTGACCTTAAGATCAGAGCTGACAATGCAGAAGAAAAGGTATCAGATTTCTACTTTCAAAAATAACAAACTATTTTTAACTAACTATATCTTTTTCAAGGTCTGATTTGAATTTAAAATGTAGTTACTGTTTCTCATTACTTTCTCCATTGTGGATTAGCTACTGGTACCCACAGTTCAAAAATTAAGAACTTGGATTCTATTTCTGGAAGTTAATTTTCTTATATTACTTTCTCCATTGTGGATTAGTTACTGGTACCCACAGTTCAAAAATTAAGAACCTGGATTCTATTTCTGAAAGTTAATTTTCTTATACCACACCTACTTCATTCTTTTGTGCACAGCTTCTAGAGGCATTTGAGGTGGCAACCCTGAGTTTACAGTTTAAAGACCAAATTCAGGACGACTTTCAAGATTTTCACCATCTGGATTCAACCTCTCCAGTCACCTTCTTGCCACTCGTTTCTTCCCTCATCCACTTCCCTCCTCCCCTCTCTTAATTTTGTTCCCACCATGTGTGTTCCAGTCCCAAATTCAAAACAAAGGTCCCTACATGTCATGCCTTTTCACAATTTGATCTTTTTTTTTTTAAACAGCAAACTTTAAAAAAATTCTTTTTTATTGGAGTATAGTTGATTTACAATGTTTTCCTATTTTAAGGCATACAGCAAAGGGAATCAGTTATTCAGTTCAGTCACTCAGTCGTGTCCAACTCTTTGCGACCTCAAGGACTGCAGCACACCAGGCTTTCCTGTCCATCACCAACTCCCGGAGCTTGCTCAAACTCATGTCCATCAAGTCGGTGATGCCATCCATCTCATGCTCTGTTGTCCCCTTCTCCTCCCGCCTTCAATCTTTCCCAGCATCAGGGTCTTTTCCAATGAGCCAGTTATTCGCATCAGGTGCCCAAAGTATTGACAGTTTCAGCATCAGTCCTTCCAATGGATATTCAGGACTGATTTCCTTGAGGATTGACTGGCTTGATCTCCTTGCAGTCTAAGGGTCTCTCAAGAGTCTTCTCCAACGCCACAGTTCAAAAGCATCAATTCTTCAGTGCTCAGCTTTCTTCCTGGTCCAACTCTCACAGCCATACATGACTACTAGAAAAACCATAGCTTTGACTCAACTCTTTGCGACCCGATGGACTGTAGCCCTCCAGGCTCCTCCATCCATGGGATTTTCCAGGCAAGCATACCGGAGTGGGTTGCCATTTCCTTCTCCAGGGGATCTTCCTGACTTAGGGATCAAACCCAGGTCATCTGAATTGCAGGCAGACTCTTTAGCTTCTGAGCCACTAGGGAAGGTAGCTTAAAATGAGGTTGCTGCTGCTGCTAAGTCGCTTCAGTCATGTCTGACTCTGTGCGACCCCATAGATGGCATCCCACCAGGCTCCCCCGTCCCTGGGATTCTCCAGGCAAGAACACTGGAATGGGTTGCCATTTCCTTCTCCAATTCATGACAGTGAAAAGTGAAAGTGAAGTCGCTCAGTCATGTTTGACTCTTAGCAACCCCATGGACTGCAGCCTACAAGGCTCCTCCATCCACGGGATTTGCCAGGCAAGAGTACTGGAGTCGGTTGCCATTGCCTTCTCCATTAAAATGAGGTAACAGTAACTAAATCATTACTTAGGGTGAAGTCATGATTAAACATAAGTTTTCAAACTACTATAATAATAACTGATTTCAGCAAGAATCATCAAAGGATGCTCAAAACCATTAAGTGAAATTCTGTAAGAGGCTAGTCCTAATCTCAAACTACCATTCCACAGATTATGTGCTGATAGTCAGTGGAAAGAGAAACCTATACAATGAACATCAGCTTAATCAAGTGATTAAACATACACCACTCATAATGGGACAGGCAGGCACCATGTGTCTCCCGGGTATGAGAGGAGATGTGTAAGAAAGACACATCACCAAGGAAGGATTTCTGTCAAAAACTGTTTAGCCTGAATCTAATTATTAGGAACAATTAGACAAATCTACATTAAGCAAGTCAACTGCCTACATTCTGCCAAATTGTTCATGCTATAAAAGAATGCTCCTCCAAAAAAACCAAAAAAAAGGGCACTAAGAAACTGCCTAGATGTAGATGGAATGAATGATCCTTCAATGGCTCGCCAATGTTTTTAAAGTTGTTGTATCGAAAACAAAAGGTATAGAGAACAATACTGAGATGACTACAGAGTGTGAATATAATACTGTATATCATTAGATAATAGTATTATACTAAAGTTAAATTTTCTGCATGTGGTAATTTCTCATGGCTATGAAGAAGACAGTTGCTGTTTTTAGAATGTACACGCTGAAGTATTTTGGAATTAAGGGTCATGATTTCTGCCCCTAATTGCATATGGTTTGGCAAAATACATACATTTAGAAAGAGAAAGCAAACGTGACCGGATTATCAACTGGTTTGTGTGTGTGTCTTAAGCTGCTTCAGTCGTGTCCGACTCTTTGCAACCCTATGGACTGCAGTCTGCCAGGCTCCTCTGTTCATGGGATTACAGGCCAGAAGACTGGAGTGGGTTGCCATGCCCTCCTCCAGGGGATCTTCCCTACCCAGAAATTGAACCCAAATCTCCTGTGGCTCCTGCACTGGCAGACCGTTTCTTTATCACTAGTGCCACCTGGGAAGCCCTAGCAATTGTTATTTCTAGGTAAAGAATTTATAAGTTGTTGCTCCAATATTCTTGCAACTTTTCCTCATATTTGGAACATTTCAAAACTAAACACTGAGAAAATTTTTTAAATAAAAAATTAAAATTAAATGAAGATGGAAGTAAACTATTTAAAAGAGTACTGACACAGGTTAGTTACTGTTATTATTGTTGATATTATTAACCACAAAGATTGACAGATCTAAGAAAACTGTGGTACTGAAATCACTAGAATTGGATCAGAAAGAAGCATCTTCATGAAATTAAGACTGTGCCATTAAAAACCTAAAGTACCATAAAAAATATCTTTATAAAAAATACACCACTATGACATTCTCAGTCTTGTATGTTTAGTCTACCCTGGGGTTTAAACAAGCATTTAGTGAACTTCTGCTATATGCTAATCCTTGTTTTAGGTTTCAAAGATAAGAAACAGCAGCAGATAAAAACACCTACCTTCATAAAATACTTAGGTCCTATACTAATATTCTAACGAAGCAAGACAGTAAATGAAGCAAGACAACCAACAAATAGTATGTTAGAAGTCAGATATGCAATGGGATAAAATAAAGCAGGAAAAGAGAACAGCGAGCGGTGGCGGGGTGGGGGTGGAGGGGAAGGCTACAACTGAAAATAGGGTGATCGTGAGAGACCTCACTGAGATGTCTCGGGCAAAATTTGGAGCCAGCTACAAAAGAGCGTTGGGAGCCTGCCATGCAAGGTCAAGGTTCGGTAAGAGATCAGTGTGGCCTGATGGGAGTGAGAGACAAGGAAGCTAAAGATGGGGTCGGAGATGTGAAGGGGCCGGAGCAGACCCCATATCGCGTATATATATATATCACCGTAAGAGCTTTGCCTATAGCCTGATGGATGTGGGGAGCCACAGCAGGTTTTCGAGGGAAGGAGCGACGTGATCCGAGACTCCGTGCACTCCAGGCTCACCTTAACTATCTCCTACTCCACTCCCTTGTTCACGATGCTACACCCCTGCTACCCTGGCCAGGTAACCTTCCAGGTGAAGCTGACACTGAACCAATTCTTAACGAAAACCGGGGGGGGGGTGAGTCGGGGGGTGGCTACGAAGTGTGCTCAGCTGGGGACAGCTGGGCACGGTAACATCTTTCCCCTCTGCTTAACATCCCCATTCTGCTCAGAGATATCCCACCCCGCCCGCAGGGACGCACACACAACAGAGAGGTCACACTGGACACGCCAACACATGCCACCCCACAGTCGCGCTCCACACAACCTCCGGCCATGCGCCGGGCAGACAAGGCCCGCCGCAGCGATGAGAGGACTCCCGCGCCAGCTGGGTCACCCTGCACTCACCCTCAAGTTCCCCTTGGTCCTCTGCTTGTTCTTCCCGCCCATGGTCGCGGTCTTAACCGCACCCCCAGCCCGCAGCCCCCGGGTTGACACTGCCGGGCCACAACTTCCGGCCCCTGGCACCGGAAAAGGACTCACAGGAACAGCTTCCCCCGGCCCGCCCCTTCCGCCACCCACCCCGCCCATCTCCCGCCCTACTTCCGCCCCCACCTCCTGCCGCTTCCCTGACCATCCCCAGCGGCATACGTCACACTTGGAGCCACGCCCATGTGAGTGATGTAATTCCTGCCCAGTAGGAAGCCACGCCTTGGAGATCCAAGGCGCCAAATCCTGCTTTCCTCGCTTTGCTAAGGCAAGATTTGATCCCTCCTTAGCGGTAGGAGAATTTCTAAAATTCCTGCATGTCCCCACTTCCTTTGATTCTAGCCAGTTCTGCATTTAATTTTGCATTCTCTTATCCCCACCAGCTTCCTGCTTATTTAGAACTTGAAAACATATTTCATACCAGTAGTCCTGTATGCATGTGAGAGTTGGACCATAAAGAAAGCTGAGCGCCGAAGAATTGATGGTTTTGAACTGTGGTTTTGGAGAAGACTCTTGAGAGTCCCTTGGACTGCAAGGAGATCCAACCAGCCAATCCTCAAGGAAATCAGTCCTGAATATTCACTGAAAGGACTGATTTTTTTTTTTCATTTATTTTTATTAGTTGGAGGCCAATTACTTTACATCATTGCAGTGGTAAAGGACTGATGTTGAAGCTGAAACTCCAATCCTTTGGCCACCTGATGCGAAGAGCTGACTCATTTGAAAAGACCCTGATGCTGGGAAAGATTGAAGGCGGGAGGAGAAGGGGACGACAGAAGATGAGATGGTTGGATGGCATCACCCACTCAATGGACCTGAGTTTGAGGAAACTCTGGGAGTTGGTGATGGACAGGGAGGCCTGGCTTGCTGCAGTCCATGGGGTCGCAAAGAATCAGACACGACTGAGCGACTGAACTAAACACTAAAGCTAGCATATAATAGGTACCATTTATTGAAGGCCTGCTGAGTGCCGTGTGTGTAAGGTTTAAGGACATTTGCAAACGTCTCATTTAATCTCTGCAGCGTCATTTGAGATAGGCACGATCCCATCCATGTTTATAAACAGAGCGAGGGTCGGCAGAGTAAAGCCTCTTGCCCTGGCTCGTGCTGCCAATGCGCAGTGTAGACAGGACTCGAACGCAGCTTTTTCTGACTCTGCTCCTAGATGTTAACTACCTGCGCCCTGTCCCAAGCAACGCAGGGCTCAGAGCCACTCGGGCTTGCTTGTATTTCCAAGTGGCCTCACATTGCAGTTGCAGAGTTCACTCTGGTGATGTCCACTCTGTAAGGATGTATTCCTTCCCTTTTTCCCTCATGCTTAAGTAAAGGAAGCTGCTAAAGGAGAGTCTGAGCCCTTGATCCTCCATAACTGCTCCCTTATAAGTAAAATGAGGGCTTCCCTCATGGCTCAGCTGGTAAAGAATCTGCCTGTAATGCGGGAGACCTGGGTTCGATCCTTGGGTTGGGAAGGTCCCCTGGAGAAGGAAATGACTACCCATTCCAGTATTCTGACCTGGAGAATTCCATGGACTGTATAGTCCCGGGGGTTGCACAGAGTTGGACACGACTAAGTAACTTTTCACCAGCAGTAGGAGATTGGCCTGAGCTAAAAGGGAGGTATTTGCATACAAGGGTAGCCATAGAATGACCATGTTGTGGCTGAAGGAAGATGGGAAAATGTTCAGTTCAGTTCAGTTGCTTAGTCGTGTCCGACTTTGAGACCCCATGGACTGCAGCACACCAGGCTTCCCTGTCCATCACCAACTCCCAGAGCTTGCTCAAACTCATGTCCATCAAGTCAGTGATGCCATCCAACCATCTCATCCTCTGTCATCCCCTTCTCCTGCCTTCGATCTTTCCCAGCATTGGGGTCTTTTCCAATGAAAATTTTCCATTTTGAAAATGTTAGACCTTTCAAAATGCAATTATCACCATCTCACCTGGATGTTTCTTAGAAATGCAGACTGCCAGGCCCACTTTGGGACTATTAAATCAGATTTTGCATTTTTAACAATGTTCCAGGTCTTGAATCAAAAATGAAAAAAAAAAAAATTTGAAAAGGACCAGAGTGATTAGCTATGACCGTTTACTAAATTCTACTTATTCTTGCTTCAAAATAACTAATGATTGTATTTCTATTTCCTTGATACTATCCACATTTCATAACAAGGATTCATACCTGTTGATGTGGACCTTCAAACTATTCCAAACCACACAGGTCTCTGATTTTCCTAAAGCACCATTTTATGATTGATTTGAGTGTTTGAAAATAGTCTCCATTATGTAACAGTTTCCAGTGCTCATCTTTTTCATCATTACTTAATCTTTTCAAGATAAGAGCCTTTTAAACCAGAGTAAACAGTGCCTACCAAAAGAGGTAATATTATGTCATGGTCAGTCATTTCAATCATGTCTGACTCTTTGTGACCCCATGGACTGTGGTTCCCCAGGCTCCTCAGTCCATGAGATTCTCCAAGCAAGAATACTGGAGTGGATTGCCATTGCCTTCTCCAAATATTATGTCAGTTTCCATCAAAATATCCATAACTAATTTAATCCAAAGAATTAATGAACTTTGGAAATATGATTTAAAATTTTATCTGGAAGAATAAAAGAATTAAAAGGGTATTTTTTTGTAAATAACAGGAATTTGTCATATCAGATTATAACATCTATTTTGACATTATCAAATAATAAACAAGTTTTAAAGTAAAAGACCTAATTAAAGATAATTGTCTAATCCAAAATACATAAAAATTAAAACAATATAGATGCAGTACCTAGAAGAAAAAGGCTACAAAAACCTAGGGTCATAACTAGAAAGAGGATGGGAAATTATAATAGCTGAAATGTCAACTCTCAAAAGCTAAGTTTGACCATATATACAGTATACTGTATACAGTATACTATATACTCCCAACAGCATTCTCAGTGAGATTTTTGTTTTCAGATATCTTGAAACTATCTCAAAAGCTCATACGAAAGAATAGGGAAAGATACTTTGGAAAGCAGGCATAATAATGGTTTGTCCTAATAAACTTCAAAACTCAAGATAATGCCAATACAATCCTCACTGTGTTGTTAGGACTAAACTGAAATAGAATAGCAAATCTGGAACTCACACTCAGGCTCTGATGAAAGTGGCATGTCCTATGTCTGAAGAATATGGATTATTCAAAAATATCACTGAAACAACTGCTTACCTTTTGAAGAAATAATTTTAGTACATACTTCTTGAAAGTGTTAGTTGCTCAGTCCTGTCTGACTCTTTGTGACCCCATGGACTGTTATGTAGCCTGCCAATCTCCTCTGTCCATGAGATTCTCCAGGCAAGAATACTGGTGTGGGTTGCTGTTCCCTTCTCCAGGGGATCTTCCCAACCCAGGAATCAAACCCAGGTCTCCTGCATTGTAGGCAGACTCTTCACTTACTTCATGCAGCACTGTAAACTGAACTACTGATGACTGAATGTTAAAGCCGTAGGGACTTCCCTGGTGACCCAGTGGCTAAGATTCTGAGCTCCCAATGCAGAGGGTCCAGGTTCAATCCTTGGTCAGGGAACTAGATTTCACATGCTGCAACTAAGACCTGATGAAGCTAAATAAATAATTTTTTTAAATGAAGCCATAAGATATGGCATAGGGGTACATATATTATTAAACTACAAGGAAATATATGGCAATGACAAATTCTTTAGGGTGGAGTTAATACTGCCAAAGAATAGGATTAGAATCAGCAAAAGTACACAAGAAGCTTTCAACCACATTTGTATAGTAGAATGGTAAAGTTTTGCTTGTCAGTGAAGTTCTCTTAAAGTAGTTGGTAAGATTATGACTTCATTTTTTTACTTCTTTTTACCTTTTTCTATAAGGTAAACGTTCATAGTAAAATAAATATATGGATGTTACATATCTACTTCACAATAAGATTTTTTAAAACGAACAAAAAATTATGAGTTCTATAGACACATTTTCAAATTATCTCGGAGTAGGGAAATATTCCCAGTCAATGCGCCAAAGACAGAATATCATAAAGAAAATGACTGATACATTTAAGTAACATTAATTTGAAAGGTTTTTTTTTCTATGTCAGACAGAAAAAAACAAATAGACAAACTTGGGGAATATCTGTAACATTAACGAGATGTTAATAGGCTTACCATTAAAAAAAATTCTTACAGGGAGCCCCCTGGTGGTCCTGGGTTAAGACTTGGTCTCCCAACACAGAGGCTGTAGGTTCAATTCCTGGTTGGGGAGATGCGATCCCTCCTGCTTCTAGGCCAAAAAAACAAAACATAAAACTGAAGCAATACTGTAGTAAATTCAATAAAGACTTGAAAAAACAAATGGTCCATATTAAAAAACTAAATCTTAGAAAGAAATAACTAAGGTTAAAACAGTTCTATTTAAAAAATTCTTACAAAAAATATTTTAAGGCTGCCCATTTACATAAAAATTAAGTAAGGCATAAACAGGCAATTCAGAGCAAAAGAAATATAACTGACCAGTACACATATAAAAAGTTATTAACTCACACTAGAAGTCAAATGAGGTGAAGTGCTAAGTCGCTTCCTTCATGTCTGACTCTGTGACCCTATGGGCTGCAGCCCACCAGGCTCCTCTGTCCATGGATTCTCCAGGCAAGAACATATGTACATTGCCTGGGGACATATGTATACCGATGGCTGAATCATGTTGATGTTTGACAGAAAACAACAAAATTCTGTAAGGCAATTATCCTTAAATTTAAAAATAAGTAATTTTTTAAAAACTAAAAAAAATATATATATATACTGGAGTGGGTTACCATGCCCTTCTCCAGGTGATCTTCCTGACCCAGATCAAAAGTCAAATGAAGAAAACATAAAACAATATAGATTTTTTTCCCATCTATTAAGTTGGCAATATGATAATAACCAGTGTTGGTAAAAATCTAGGGCAAAGGAAATTTTATAAGTCTTT